GAAGATATTCCTCGATGTCACTAACACATCCTCGATTGACCAAGCTATACATTGGATACGAATGAGGCATATTTAGGTTTCGGAAAGTAGAAAATTTGTTTGGGGAGTAAGGAGGATGTAGGTGACATGGAGGGAAACACAAGACAAAAGTCTTTCTGGTAAAGTATCTTACTTAGTTATGTTGGGCAACACTACAATAATAGCTAATTTGAAAACACAATATTTCACATTCTATGAAAATTATCTGCCAGATATAATAGAATAGATTCCAAAGTCTACAAAATACATCCCAATTAGAAGCAATAAAAAGGAAGAACTGAAAACTTCAATTGCAAAATCGATATGTTCCTATTTTTTGAATTTTTAATTCCATTAGTACATGCTACGTGCTATAAACTTCTAATTTTCACACAGGCTTTAACCTTTTGCTCCCTCCCTAAGTAACTAAATTTTGTTACTAACATTTAACTTTAATAAGAAGATAGTAGAAAAAGAAATAATACATAATTTAGCTAATAGAAGAGCAAACACAAACACGTGTAGGAAAAGAAATGGTATGCAATTATTGGGTTGTATACAACACGAAAATTGAAAGGAAATGATGGGTTAATGAGAGTGTTGGGGGTTGGAAGTAATACAAGAATGATTATAACAAGTAAGAAACACAAAAAGAAAATATAAACAGTCATCTGTAGAACACATTTTTCATAAAAAAACGCCAATAAAAATGGGACAAGAAGATATACTTATCTTTCCTCTCCCAAACTTGCTTTGTAAACTCATCTCTATCATGTTCAATCCTCTTTTTCCTTCATAAGCCATTTCAATAACCAACTGAAAGTAAGACACATTAGATTAATTGTGTAAAGAAAAAATGAAAAAGCCTTAAGGATAACAAAGAGCAATTAAGAAAAAAAAAAAACTAGTGACATGTTCACTCACTTATTCAACAAGCAGATATATATACATACTAGATTGCATGCGCCTCATACTTACGCAATACATACAACATTTTAAATACACGAAATATTCCAAAACAAGCGAAGGACATCAATAAATTTGCTCATCATTATTAACACGAATCATACATATCATGGAAGCATAATGCCTCTTATGATCTACTAAGCATTATAAGTTTGTTCTATTGATCCATCTCTCAAACTCCACTACCAAAGTTTCATTTGAAGGCATTGGGAAATGGAAAAATTAACAATATCAATTGATCATGTAATAAATCCAAGTTGGTTGTGCAAAAACTTGATCCAAGTCTGAAGTTTCTCAAAGCCTCTAAATAGACAAAAATTGAAAAAAAGAAGAATCATCCCCTCTATACCATTCAAAGCCCCTTAATCAAAGGCAATTAAGATTCCCTCAGAGCTTTGTCATAACTTTACAACATCGTTTTCATATGTTTGTTCCTTACTATCATCAAAAGATTATGAGTCAACTATATTATGAACTCAACCTACTCAAGGTTCGTGCTTGAAACACAGAAACAAGCATTCCAAACTTATTCCCATTACAACCTAAGTTCCCCCAAAAAGGTGCAGATCTAAAAATCATTGTTTTATCAGCATAGTCAGTCATGGAAAATTAAATGCACATAAAGTGCAGGATGGTATATAAACTTGCCTATATTGATAAAAGTATAGCAATAAGAATGATGGCCTTGACACAACTCAAGATGTAAACTGGCATAAATCGAGCGATAATGTTAACAAAAAAAAAAAAACTTCGACTACAAATGGGGAGTTGAATGAAACCTCACACAATCACAACACTTGGATTCAAAAGCAAACAATGAGGATTCAATGTAAAAGATGCAAAGACTAACCTTCACATATCAAAAGCTTTTCATATCTCTATGGTCTCTACATCTTAGAATACGCCGCTCAATAGGCAATAAACAACTCCATCAAGAACCTCTACTATCTCGTTAGCCAGCTGGCCCTTCCCCCAAAGTTAGTAACAGGTAATCATCACAGTATGGAAGCAATTTGGCTCTCTTTCAAAAGGCAAGCATTAAAAAAATGGCCCGATGAGTAGAACTCACGCTCTTGTCACTGTTACAGTGAGTAGTTTGACTAATCTGCTGATTCATCATGATAGATATCATCTTCTGTTAGGACATTATGATATAACCAATTAGGTTCCTTTCATAGGGACCAAATAATTTGATCATGAGCAAAATTTATTAATGTTATTCAACTAGAAATGTATTATAATAACAGTTAAATGACCTCATTCAAGGAAAGAGTGTTCATAGTGATGATGCTGATGGGTGACAACATAATCATCATGATCCTGAACATCTAGTTCATGATAAACAACAAAACATATACTATCTTTGTTATAGCTTGAAGCACCCTGATCTCAGGCAATATTTTAATAATATACCAATTCTATCTTATGTAGGCATTACATTAGTCATTAGGCTATCGTACTCAAGATAATTGACTCATTGCTAATTCTTAAAAATTATGAATAATTTCAGAAAATAATTGATAAAAAAAGACACTAGTTCTTTTTTTCAAGAAAATAGAAATATTTAAGCACTAAAAGCGATTGAACACAAGAACAAAACCATAAGAATCCAAATTTTATAGGAAAAGATCAATTAATAACCCTAAGAAAATAAACAACAAAAAACAAAAGATTTCAGAAATCTTTAATCCACTCACCTTTCAAAAGTCGAGCAAGCAGAACATCTTATAAATAATTGGGCAATGGCGCAAAACAGGAGATCAATGGCGACAGAGGAGAACCATAGATCATTGGGCAAGGTGGTCCGCTTCAACGACCAGAAGGGCTATGGGTTCATCAGACCCTACAAAGAAGGCGAAGATCTCCTCGTCCACCAATCGGAGATCAAATCCGAAGGCTTTCAAACTCTCTATGAATGCCAAGAAGTAGAATTTTTGGTTATTCATGAGGGTGAAAAGATCAAGGCCATAGACGTCAATCGCCCCAACGGAGCCCCGTCGACAATACCAGGGGTGGCACGGCATAGCGGCTCTTGTTCCAGGCTTGAAATTCTGAAGGGCTAGGAGTTGAAACGGGGTGCTTGCTACGAGGCGACTTGGCAGAGAGGACATGGAGATCTCCAGAGAAAAAAGAAGAAGAAACCACCGGAGACATGAACCTAGAGCTCTTGGCCGGCGGTGAGTCGAAGGAGGAACCGCCGAGGCGATGGTGTCCGCGGCCTCCCTGCTGCGGCTATAGAGTATATGCACCGCCTACTTCTATCACAATTTAAATAGGGGAGGGGATATTGTGAAAAGGAAAAGAATATTAATTGGAAACTAGCCGTTGGACTCTGAACGTTTCCTATGTGGTGGTTTTGATCTTGTAACGGTTAATTTCACTTGCCAGGGCAGGAGACGAGGGACGTTTTTTCTTTTTCCCTCAATGAGTCTGCGTCGTCTTGGTATTTTGGGTTTAAAGGATGGGCACTGCCGCAGACACTTAATTTGAGAATTTAGCAGGGACAATAGGAACTTAATTCAACAGTGTTATTGAATTAATTGTAAATTTTAATGTTAAATGAAGTTCAATTTCAATTCAAGAGTTACATTAAATTAGATTATCAAATCAAATCTCTAAATTAAATTCCAATAGTATTGTTCATAGTATTTTTCTTAAAAAGTTTTCTTAGTAGTTAATGGATCAGTCCTGTAAACTTGTTAGGGTGAGGCGCTTACAGCACTTGCTGGCGTGGGATATTTTGGCTTGAGTGTTATCTGGAATTCAGAAACTATGATCCTATCGAGGAAGGAGCTAACGAAAATACAAACTATGGGATTGAGCACAACACACTCGGTGAATGTACACATTCAAATTATAGAGAATAACAAACATATAGAGAGGAGCTTGATTGCTTTAGTATCAAGACATGTGATCCATGAGATTGTCTAGCTTTGGTTGCCTCATGCTTCTAAGCGAGCTTTGCTCGGTTTCCTACGGGGAGGTGTGTTTTCCAATGTCGACCTTTTCAGGGAGGTGGCCACGATGGTTATGGGTGTAGGGGTAGCGGCGGCGACAAGAATGAGTTTAATCGAAGGAATGATAATGGGTATGATGACAGTCTCGATTGTTGAGAAAGAGAAAAACAGATTTTTATTTTTATTTTTTTGTGGTGGGAGGTATATCGAGCATTTTTATAGAGTAGGTGAACGCAGACAAATGAGTCATTTTAGGGCACGGGTTTATCCAATTACTCAAAAAATCAAAGAAGATTGAATGTCATCAAATGTGCTACTATGGCATTTCAACTCCAACTTAAGATTTGCATACAAACTTAACAATCTACCAATAAGATAGTTCAGATATGAGATTCCAAGTTCGATTCTCACAAAAAAATTATGCTACACTTGATTTGCACAGTTTGTGAATGTTTATCTACATTTGAAGTTTATATTGTACGAATTCCATTATTTAAAAAAAACACATTGATTAACAAAAATAATTTTATGAAAAAAGGAAAGAAAGTGGCCATCCCAGGTGATATATTCAACATCATTTTGTCCTCCCACACATCCCCAACGTGAAAATAGGATCCAATAACTTCAAAATAGGATCCAATGACTTCAGAACAACCAACAATATGAGAAGTGGTTCGTAAATCTTTTTAAATCCAATTGGAAAACATTATTATGGAGAAAAAACATTGAATGTAACAATAACACCATATAATTAATGCCACGTGTTATCATCATTCAATAATAAGATAACAAGTGAATAAAATAAGTCTTACTAATATAACATATTTACTATTGAGTGTAGTGTCTACCGGTAATTATTGGAGTGTTGGATTCACTTTGCCTTTTTATTTTTTTATCGGATAGTAACACTATGTAACGGTGATAACATAGTACCACCGTTATACTGGTATTTACTCCATCATCATTATAGCATATTACTTGATGCATGGCTTTCTGTCAAAATAATAAAATATATTTGAAACAAGAAATTACAAAACAGTACACTTGAATCAACTTGGTCTCAAACTAAAAATATGTACTGCAGGAGCAAATTTCGAACTGAAATTGGTAAGTTCATCCCGTATTAGTATTGATTAAATCTTTAAAAAGGTCACATGGAACCATTTCCACTATAACCACAAGAACCCCAAAAAGTTACAACAAAATTTTGCTGAAGCACACCCTTCTTTGACAAAATTCAATGAGAAGCATGGAAGCATTCATTTGCATCCAGTCTCTCTACACCACAGATCAGTGTGATCCATGAACAGTCATTCCCGATCAGAGGGTTAGTATCACAAGCCACTTCGTGGGATCCGACGAAAAATAATGATAAAATATCAAAGATCTGAAGGTGCAAATGTAAAGAAATAGTTTGGTAAGGAATCAATTTCGGGATAGAAGCCCCTTAAACAAGAAGATTCCGAGACCACCAATTGCCAATGCTATAATCAGAGAAACTCTAACAGGATCAACATCAGCTATTTCGCAGTTCTTGTCTGTTCTTGCATCACGAGATATTTCTCCCAAGCTCTCGCGGAGAAGATTATTGAGGTTGTCCAACTGATGCAAGACTTGCCGTTGTCCTCTTGCAATACCAGATATCTGTTTAAAATAGTGTGGGATGAATCAGGAAAAGAAAGTGAACTAGCCCCCAACAAAAGTCAAGTAGTAAAATGTTAAAGGTAGAATATGGTGAATTGATGCATGTAGGAATATTTGTTGCTTGGCAAGATCAGAACCTACACCCACTCCAAATAAATAACAAAATGAATCAAACACCCTGCATGGGATTATCCTTGCTTAAACTAGGGTCGTGGGATTATTGGATCATTGTAAGGACAATGCAACTCTAGATAAAAGCAATTATGCCATAGTCCTTATACCATACAAACTTTAGAACAAGGTGTCAAACAACCACTCCTTTATAGAAACATTATCCTAGAGTCATCATTAGGATGTTTTCAATAAGTCATATGAATAATTTAACAATCAACTATTTTACCTAGATTTTCTTAAGGTCAAAAGAAACACATAATTTGCCATATATTCACCCAAGAGAAGAAAACTTAGCTCTCTTCTATTTTTGTCCTCAATGTTTATAGTAATTTCATTTATCCACTAATTTATGTCACGCTTTTTACCTGGAACTTCCAGTTTCTCAGATTTGATCCTGCTCTCCACTTTTTTATACTCCAACTTACACTAGTCAATCTACTAGACTTTTTTGAGTTGAGTCTTGTTGAGGATTAATAAGCATATGATATTAGCATTATTATATTTGAAATCTAGTATTAATCATGCAAGCAAGACTTGTTGGGAAGTTCAAGGTGTTAGCATTAATCATGCAAGACTTTTTGGGGTGGGAAAAGACTTTTTTGAGTTGAGTCTTGTTGAGGATTAATAAGCATATGATATTAGCATTATTATATTTGAAAGTAGATTTTCAGTGTACTTCTTATGCTTGCCTTTTTAATAATTTCCAAGAAACACCCTATCTAATTTTACTTGCAAGTATATTATTAGCATATAATAACTGCGTATAACCAGCTTTCTTTGTAATTCAATTAATGCTCCTTTCACAAAAAAGAACTACCCCATTTGTTTTGTAGGACAAGTAGACCTTTATTTCACATCAAAGTTTTCCAAAGCAAAATAATAAGAGAATCAAGACATTTGATTCCCTCAAAGATTCCTCACTTATTTGCAATATTATGTCTTCAAACATAAAACAACCGAATTGTTTATTATGGTTTTCATATGTCATTGTACCCTGTAACTTGGAAAAAATATTTATCCCCTTGTTTGGGGTGGAAAAAGCACTTCACTTCTCTCTCTCTTTCTTAGAGCCATCATTATAGCACACCCTAAATAAAAGCATTACAAATTCTCAAGGAAAAGGTATAATGAGACTGGTGATGGTACCTCTTCCATCAAGGGAGACTCCTTCGCTAGCTGGGAGGAAGACGAGGAATTTGGAATAATGGATCCAGCCAAGGAACCGTTGCCTAAACCAGAGACGAAGGAAGAAGTGGGAGCAGATCCATTGCAGACTTCAGCATGCACAGCCCTGTTTTGAGGGCTGGCAGAAACTCTATTGCTGATTAACTGGGAATTCAACTCTTCGATTCGAGAGGTAAAATCATCCATCCGAACATTTAGTGTAGAAATTTGTTCTGAGAGCTGGGTAATACCTCCCTATTATACAATATTAACAAAAAAAACAAGGGGAAAAAAGAAAAAAAAAAGATAATCAAAAGTGATTAGCTCAAATCTTGGTTAGAAACATCATCAAAAAAAAGAAAAAGGAAGCTATAAAAATATGTTATTTCTTCAACAATGCATAAAGGCACCTGGTTTGCTGGTGTTGGTGACGACTCTATACTCCGGTCATCAAACCTTCGGTTATTGACATTGAATCCAGTAAGCTTGGAGAGATTCTTGTCTCCCTGTGTTGAATATGAGTGCGAAATAACCCTGTTTAAAACACACAGCAATCAGAAAAAAAGTTTTAAAAAAATTCAGGTCCTAAGAATGTATCACTCCTTGGAGACAGAAATTAAGAAGGTGCACAACAAATTAGATTCACAATAGTAAAATGATGGTAGAATGGTCAGATATCTAAGTTAAAGATAATGTTGGTTTCACAGCTTAACAGGAATCCCCAGCAAAACTAACAAGATGTGTACCCCCTGGAATGTGTTAAAGCCACAAATAACTGCAACATATACTCATAAATCATAATGTATAGACTTAAGATTTTTGAGTACTCAAACCAACAAATCTGATGGTGCTACAATGTTGAAGCCCCAAAAAGAATGTGAGGCCAACTTCATTTTTAATCATTTTGTTCCGGACTGATAAATAGGCCTGAAAACTGTACCTGAGATTCTTATTTCTCATTGAAACCCTCTCTGCAGAGGCTCGAGAGAGTGCTTCTTTGGGACTTGACACCAGATCCTCATCTATGCTTAGCTTTGTCTTCAAATCATATGGCAGTGCCTGCAGAGTAATTACATCAGAAAATGGCATTATCGAGGATTAGTGGTTGGCCTAATGCCCAGCCTACCGTTGGACCGTTAGGTCGTGGGTTCGAACCTCACCGCACCCTCCCTTGTAAAATTTTTTTTTAAAAAAAAAAAGAAAGAAAAAGAAAATGGCATTATCATAAGCTTTGGAAGTCGTCATACCATAACCTCATTTACAAGCTTTTCCAGTTGTATTTGTTCAATATAAGTACGAGGAATGAATGAGCCTTCCAATCCCAGCTGCTCAGCAACACCTTTTACAACTAGGCGATCTCTTCCTTGCACCTTTTATTAAAACAACAAAGAAGGTTTGAAGAAAGAAAATAGCCTTTATAAATCCACAGAATGAGAGCAAACATAAGAAAATTTGAAACCAAGATGAGCGCTGAAGTTATCGTCTACTTGTATATGCTAAACCATTCATTTTCTTGCATTAAATAAATATCCAAGGTCGTTTTCAAGTATTATATGCCCAGTAATTTGACATTTTTATGTCAAACAATCATAGCCAACAAAATGAAGAGTACAGAAGCAATCAGGTATTGATTATATAACATCAATGTTTTGTAGAAAAATAAACCCCCAGATAGATTGATCTGTCTGCTTGTTTTCAACATCATTGACATTTTTCTGATGCTACCGAATTACTTGGTTAATACAAATCCAACACCTTTTGTAACCTTCATTATGCAAATTGCAGTATGAGAATATATATATATATATATATATATATATATATATATATATATATATATATATATATATATATATATATATATATATATATATATATATATATATATATATATATATATATAATAATTCTTGACAAATGATAAGCTTTAGTCTGGATTTGGGGCCTATAAAACAACAGCTATCGTGATAAAAACTTTGCATTTATTCATCTTATCAATTAAATACATGTCACACCAATTCATGCTAAATCTATTAAGTACATTTCAAGCCTTCACCAATTTAATAAGAAAAAACTGAAGAAGCGCATGAATCTATGACCTCATCAACCATAGATATTCAAGAATGACTCATGCTAGCAAATAGGGACATGTAAATGCACATGATTAAATTTGGAGAAGCGTTACCTTAAGCTTAATACTTGCATTACATACCAAGGTATCAAGAGTGTTAAGTTTAGAGAGTTAACACAACATTAGAGAAAGACGGAGAGTGGTCGAAAATTTGACCTACCTCTCACAAACCACTTGTATTTATATTTAACCCGCAACCATACAAAGACGTGTATCTCTCTAGTGGTATACTTATTACAACTAACTAATATTTACATAATACCCTAACAATCTTAACATTCTCCTCCAAGCTGGACTATATATATCATATAATCTGAACTTAGAACAAATGGTTGCAAGACACAACTCGATGTTTTGGTAAATATATCCGCAAGTTGATCCTCATATCTCACAAATGGAGTCGTAATATCTCCGGCTACTATCTTGTCTGGAATAAAATGACAATCAACCTTAATATGTTTGGTTCTCTCATGAAATACTGGATTAGCAGTAATATAAATAGCTGCCTGATTGTCTCAGAATAACAGTAAAGGAGGTTGAACTGTAAAGCCAATTTCTTGGAGAAAGTATAGTAGCCACGTCAACTCATTGGTTGTATGTACCATTGTTCTATACTCAGTCTCAACACTAGACTTTGCTACCTTAGTTTGTTTCTTACTCTTCTATGAGACAATGTTACCTCCTAAGAAAGTACAATTACCAATAGTTGACCTCCGATCAGAAAGAGAGTCTGCTTAATTAACATCTGAAAAGCCTTTTACTCTAAGATGACCATTAGCTCGATATAACAGCCCAAGGCTAGGAGCACGTTTGAGATATCGCAGAATACAAGTAACTGCCTCCCAATGTGATACTCTAGGGAAACCCATTAACTGACTTACAATGCTAACTGTATAGGAAATATCCGGTCATGTGACAATGAGATAATTGAGCTTCCCAATCAACCTGTGATATCGACCCGGATTCTCAAACAGTACACCATCATCCATTAATAATTTCTGATTCGAATCCTCATCAATTGGTTTGCCACCTAGCAAACCTTTTTCCTCTAGCAAATCAAGTACATACTTTCTCTAGGATAAACAAATACCCTGTTTAGATCACGCAACCTCAATACCCAAGAAATACCTAAGTTTTCCTAAGTCCTTAGTATGAAATCAATCTTGTAAATAGGTCTTCAACTTAGCAATCCCCTTAGAATCATTTCTAATAGTCACAATATCATCTACATAAACCACCAATAGAATATATCCGATTTCCGTCTGTCTATAAAACAAGAATGATCTGTGACATCGAAGAAGGCCAAACTCTAACACTGTATCTGAAAACTTACCAAACATTGCTTTCGGTGACTACTTCAAACCATACATAGACTTCTTTAATCGACATATATGCTTACAGTACTCTCCCTAAGCAGTAAATTCAAGTGGCTGCTCCAGATAGATCTCTTCAACCAAGTTACCATACAAGAAGGCATTCTTGACATCTAGCTAAAACAATAGCCAATCAAGATTAGCAGTCAAAGAAATTAATATATGAATAGAAGAAATTTTGGCAACGTGAGAGAAAGTCTCTTCATAATCAACCCCATAGGTCTGAGAAAAGCCCTTAGCAACAAGATGGACTTTGAGACGCTCCACAGAACCATTTAGATTAAACTTAACAGTATAGACCCAATGACACCCTACAGTCTGTTTACCAGGAGGTAAAAAAACAAGATCCCAAGTCCCATTATGATAAAAGTCATCAATTTTCACTTCCATAGCTTTCCTCCAACCCGGATCAAACAACGCATCCTGTAAGTGCTTAGGAGTAGAGATAGTAGACAGTTGAGAGATAAAACAAGAGAAAGTAAGAGACAAGACATCATATGAAACAAAATGAATAATGGAATGGTTAGTAACACACGAACGAGTGCCCTTCCGAAAAGCAATAGGTAAAGAGTCAGAAGTACTGATGAACCAGGACTAGAAGATGACAAGGAAGACGATACGGACCTCAGTTAATGGTCAAGGACGACGAGAATATACGCGGAATGTAGAAGTAGACGGTTGCACAGTGGGTAACAGAATATCTAACGGTAAGAGAAGAGGTAGTGGTATAAGGGACAACCCAAAATCCAGATCCAAAGACTGTGCTGGTGCCGAAAAATATGATACCAATTCATCAAAGATGACATCAACATTAGCAAACTACCGACGAAGGAAAGGATTATAGCAGCGATATCCCTTATGTGTGCAGGAGTATCCTAGAAAATCACATTTGGTAGCACGAGAGTCAAGTTTATCAAACTCAGGGCCCAAGTTGTGAACATAACAGACACACCCAAAAACCTTAGGAGTTAAAGAAAATAGGGGCTTACCGAAAAAATGACAGAATCTGGACTTTACCCATTTAATACAGATGATGACATACGATTAATAAGAAGACAAATAGTAAAAACAACATCACTCCTAAAATAACGAGGAACATTCATATGAAATAATAGAGCAAGAGTGACTTCTAACATATGACGATTCTCAGACTCAACAACGCTATTCTACTGATAGGTGTAAGTACATGAAGTCTAATGAATAATACTAATTTTATTGAGATAAGATGAAAAGGGATCAAATTTATATTTCCGAGCATTATCAAAACGTAACATACAAATACGACAACCATATTGAGTTTTTATTTATTTACATAAAGTCTCAAATATAGAAAATAATTCAGAACGAGCTTTCATAAGAAACAACCAGGTCACACAAGAATAATCATCTACAAATGACACAAAATAAGAATCTTTATTAGAAGAAATATTCTTTATTGGACCCCATACATCAGAATGTACTAACTCAAATGGACTAAACACACCATTATTGCTTCTAAACTAAAAGGATACACGGTGATGCTTACTAAGTTGACAAACTTTACAACATACAAACAACACATAACTAAGACTTGGAACTTGACGCTTCAAATTTTAGAGAGAGGGATGACCAAGATGGCAATGCAATTGGAACAAAGATGACAAGGTCTGTAGAGCCCAAGTAGATGAATTAAAGTCAAAATAATAGAGACCATCAGCTTTATGTCCCGTATCAATCTTCCTCTTTGTCTTGAGATCTTGAAATACACAAAAAGAGGGATAAAAAGTTACAGAATAATTAAGAGAACGTGTACTCTTGCTAATAGAAAGTAAACTAAAAAAAAAACTGAGGAACAAATAACACGGAGGATAAGGACATATTCAGATTCAATTGAGTAGTCCCCAAACCTGAAACTTTAAAAGAAGTAATATTAGTAAAAGTAACATTGTTTGTGGAAGGAGTAGACTGATATGTAGAAAAAATATCAGACGCATCAGTCATGTGGTCAGAAGTTTCAGAGTCTATAATCCAGGGATTACGAGTGAAAGACAATAAATAAGTGAAAACAGTACCTGACTGGGCAAAAGTAACAGTGGAGAAAGATGGAACGACCTGTTGCAGAGACAGAAACTGAACATACTCCTCCCATGTAAGAGTAACTGACCCAGAATCCACAGAGGCAATAATCGAGGTTTTATCGTGATAAGAAAGCTGGTTAGCAACACCCGAAAGCTTGCCATGTAAATCTCAGCAATAATCAACAATGTGGTTTCCACGACCACAGTGAGAGCATGAATGAGACCTTGACACCGCCCTCCACAACCTCTAGTACGGCCTCTGCGACCTCCGTGACCACCACGGCTACCACAACCACCTCGAGAGCTATCACTATGGCCACTTGCGACAACAAGAGCTGAACGATCGGCAGGCACACCAAACTCCGTGTTGGATGAACTAGTAGAGTAGGTAACACGCTGCAAGCGGGAGAAAACCTCCAGTAGAGATGGAAGACTAGAGCCACCCAAAATCTGAGAACGAATAGATTTATATTCACGTTTCAAACCAAATAAAAATCAGACAACATTCAAATCTTTATATTGTTTCTGCTAAACCGCTGCATCAGTAGTAAAAGGGTGGTGGAGCTTCAACTCCTTGTACACTCCCCGAACATGAAAGTAATAGTCCTCAAGACTCAGAATACCCTGTTCTAGATGAAAATACTATTTGCATACATCATATGCACGAGTGAAATTCCCAGTCCCAGAATACGTGATGGCCAAGTGATCCCAGATCTCTTTGGCCATGTCGAGATAAAGCAAAGTAGAATTGATACTGGACTCAATACTATTCAATAGCAATAAAATAATCTGAACATCTTACTTGTTCTCACTTATTATAACCAGGAGTACCTTCCTAGGGTTTAATGTCCACTAAATATTTCTTAAAGCCTTTACCTCTAAAAAACACTTGAACATATCGTGGCTACAAAACATAATTGGTCTCATTGGGTTTAATAGATGTCATGGGACCATTAAGTAGAACCATAGGAGAAAAATTCGATGGCATGGGTGGAATAAGATCAGCCTAACTATCATCATTTTTATTCTTGGGTTCCATAATAATATAGCAATAATAGAACTAAAGGAAAAAGGAGAAAGAACTGTGTTTTAGTGAAAGAAAGAGGCTGGAAGAACACCAAGGAGCACTAAACCGAGCCTGAACAGTGGACTAGGTGCCTGAACCGGACCAAAAATAGTGGTTGAATACCTGAACAGGGTGTGAAACACCTGCTAGATGGATGAATCGGACCAAGGAAGGCTATTGGATACCTGAACCGGACCAAGAAAGGCTACTGACTGCCTAAACTGGGCCAGGAACACCTGCTGAATGTCTAAACCAGATAGGAAAACAGGAGTTGTGCTGCTAAACCTGTGCGAACCAACCTGGAAGAGCTAAACAATGCTGAACTGGACCAAATTGAGGAGAACCGAGTCTGAACAGGGATGAACCAGGATGAACCGGTCTGCTATTGGACTGGGCCGGCTATCTCAACTGGGAACTGAGCTGGACTGAATTGGACTGGACTATCTCTCAGATTGGGCTCAAGAACAACCCAAACCCGTTAGCCAAACCATCCAAACTGACCCGCTAAGGGTCGTCTTCTCCACTACTATGGTTTCAACGAAACCTTGTTTCTCGTTGCGCCGCCTCGACGACGCAAAAAACCATCGACAGTGCAGCACCACTCCCACACTAATGCAACCATCATGCCACCATAGCAGGTCTCCGACGACTAGCACAATCACCACCAACGATATAACAACTCTACCGCCGACGACATAACAGTGCAATCACAACCACTGCCGATGATACAACACCACCTCCTCAACAAGGTGTGATTAACCTCTACACCACACCCACACTCGTGTGGTTATTAAACCAACACGCATGACCTAAAGGCCATGACCGTGGTTCTTACAACCGAGCCAAGAACGGCGAACAAAACAAGAAGAAACAAAAAAAAAAGAGAGAAAGAAAAGGAAGAAAAAGTCAAAGAATCGAATAGTTTTTCAAAGGATTAATCTTGCCCTGATACCATGTTAAGTTTAGAGAGTCAACACAATATTAGAGAAAGACAGAGAATGGTCGAAAACTTGACCTACCTCTCACAAACCACTTGTATTTATATTTAACCTGTAACCATATAAAAGACGTGTATACCCTCTAGTGGTATACTTATTACAACTAACTAATATACATAATACCCTGACAATCTTAACAAAGAGGAAGGGCATGCAACCACACCAATAGTGAAAAGGAGACAAGTAAATTTTGCTAAGTCGTAATTCATCTGTACTCAATAGCAAGGAGATAAGATGAAAGCCATAATTTGAATTACCTGAACATAATGGCGTTTCAGTTGTTCTAGCCAATCAATTTTCACACAGACCCTTTCTGCACAGAATACATGGCTACTTCTTTTCAGGATAGTTGCTATAGTGTATCCCAAGGCCATCAGGCCACCAAGAAGCCGCACACTGACTTCAAAAGTTATTCTTGGTGATATGACAAAAGGAGAATCAATAACCCATTCCTAATCAGAAGCATGACCAGATTTAGACAACAACACCGCACAAAAAAGCTTCACATGTTCTCCAAGTTAAGCAAATTCTCTGACAAAATGGAGAGCCTATAAAACCATGTCTAAAGATCAGAAGAACTACCAATCTTAGACAATGACAATAAGCTAAAATCATAACTATATTCCATTAATTAAGTAAATCCTAAGCAAATCCAAAGAGCAGCAACAAGCTGATATCATGCTTAAAACAATTTACATTGATATGATAAAAAAAAAAGGAAAAAAAAGCATCCATGTTGGCTACACAGAGCAAACATTGTATAAATTCTCCGAAATACATTGGTTGACCTATGAACTACATGGCTAGATATAAATTCAGTACAATAACTCCAATATGTTCATGAAAGGATCTGCATAACTACTATCCCAAATTTAATATAAATACACCAACATTATAGGCATATCTTTTCAAACATTGATATGTATGGCATAGTAGCAGCAACACAGATAAACTACAAAATTCTAAACCACATACTGTTCCATGAAGATATGCTGGAAATTCAAATCAGTAAAGACAAAGTAACAAGAAACTTATGCTTTGTTTGGTATGATGGAAAAGTGAAAGAATAAAAAGTTGGAAGGATAGATAAAATGGAAAAAAATAAAAAAGTGGAAGCATTAACCTTCATTCCAACTCACCAAAATTTATCCCTCTAAAATGGAGAGAAAAAATAGATGAAAAGTTAACTATGTGCATTGAAATGTACGTTATTTACCTTTATATCCCTTAATATTTATATATATTATTTATTTATCTAATACATATCATATACACATTAATTCCATATATAGACACAATGGTAAAATAAGCATTTATACTTTTTCGTTCTTTTCACTTTGTTATCCGTCCGAAACACAAAAAAATCAATATTTTTTTACTTTCCATACTTCCTACAAAACACAAAGGAAGAAAAAAATGATTCCTCCCCTGAAAGATAGAAAATATATCACTCTTACTGTCCATTCATCCATATTTCCATCCATCGTATTCCAAACAAAGCATTAAGTTCTGAAAATATTAGTTTTGTAGTCCAAATTAAATCAAAGCAAAAGAACAAGCCTCAAACATGAGGTTGTATTTTCCATCTTTATTCCTCATCCTCAGGTATGATTGGCAGGTTTCTGGATCTTCACCCGGGGGTAGCAGATAAATATCATAAGTTTGTTCCATGGTGTCTGTGTGTTCTTCAGACATGACAGATTTGATTTGATCCACTGTCAGGTTCCTTGCAGACTGAAAGACAAGAATCATCCAAGTATTCAGATCATTTATCAATGTACTTGATGAAGACACTTTTTCGTTGATGCATTGACCAGCATCAGAAGAGTTCAAAAACAAACACCTAAAGATGTGGAGATTAACCTTTAAAATATAAGTAGGAGATTGAAATCCAGTGAATGGGTTAAACTTGTTAAGGATTTTTATATGTGCTGTCTGAAGATCAGGTTCGATAAAAGCCTTGTACATTGGATATACCTGCAGAAAAAAATGTAGCTAAGAATTTCTATAGGAGAAGCTCATCAGACTTCAGGAGTGTGTTTAATGAGGATAAGAAAAAACACCGTTTCAGATATCTGGTGGATTATTTCTTCTGGTTCTTGCCCAGCACGTTGTATGTCCCGTAAAACCCGTTTTACAAGATCAAAGTGAACTCCACCTCTAACAGACACTCTAAGATCAAGTAAAGGCCGCAATTTTTCACTCAGAGCATAGATGCCCTCAATAATCACTATTCGGGAGCTTGGTACTTCAACTGTCCTGCAACCAGCACATACTGCCATGAATCTTAAGTAACACTGAATACTGACCCGGGGGGGGGGGGGACAATATAGTCCTACACTCAACTTTAAGAACTGATCACTTACTTAAAGAATGACCATTAAAGGATGAGTAGTCTGGTGCACTTTAGTGAGATAAATATTTTTTTTGGATAAATCACTCAATTTGAGGGTGACAAATAAAATTCAATTAATTCAGCAGCAAAAACAAAACAGAACAAAAGCACATAGCTAGAAATACTTTTTAATCTCCTCGTATAGTTATAATAATCAGATAAATTCACTACCTTCTCAATATATCCTCAGATTCAGTTATCTCTAGGCAAGCTCTAGTTGATTTAAGCTGAGTAGCTTCCAGATAGAAAAATTGCACCTCTTTTAAAAGCATAAACCATTACCATTCATAAAAACTAGATGGAAAGGACTTCACCTGTATCCTGTGCGGGAACTAGACTTGAAGTCGTATATCGGAACCTCAACCTGCTTACCTTCCTTTAGATCGTGGATATTTTTGAGCAATGTGTCATAATCTGTCAAACGTGGGTCTGTTTTGAAAAGATATTAGATCAAATAAAACATTAAATAATCCCTACATCAAATTTGGTTATACAGATGGTTTATGTTTTCACAGTGAAAAAAGACAAAGATTCTCTGCAAGACCCCAATTCTTTAGACCAATATGTGCGTGCACACACACACACACACATATGCAGTGTAAATCCACACATTCTCACTGCTCCCAATAGAATCAAGATGAGACCCAAAATGCAATATGTGACATTTAATAAAGATAGAAGTAAAAACAGAAGTACATTAATTTAACTTGTTTTGTAGCAAAACAGATACCACATGGTTTACTACTGCAAAATCGTGTGTATATACTAATTTAAAACTATCTCTTCCCACCCCTATATCTCACCCCTTCAATTTGTAGCTATACCACTTCGATCTTTTTTTTAAGGGCAGTGATTTTGTTAACTCAACTTTTTGACTGAATGCAGAAAGTGAAATAAGAATTTGAAATAAAAGTTTCCAACCTGTACAAATTGAAATCATGACAAGGCGGCAGTTATTATTCTCCTTACTTTATATGGATATTAGTCTTGAATATCAGTGGTTGTCTCTCATCATTTCAACTATGTCCAAGACGTTTTTCCAAGTAGCTCAATTTCCTTGATGATAGATCAAATTCCAACCAAAGGAAGGCTTAACCACCTCTAAATCTACTGGATACAAGAAAAAATAAATTAATCTCAAAAACTCTAACCCTAAAATATGGAGAGAAAAAAAAGACAAATGTAGAGCTAACAATGGAGGCCCTGGACAACTAGGTAACTATCTCGGACACCAGAAAAGGTTTCGTACATCAAGTTGCACCTTTGATTTATAGGTGCAGACTGTGAACAGCTTACTGCAGGAATATGCTAAAACCAAGTTTCAAAGCATATCATTCACAGGAAAGTTATAACAATATGACAGTGCGTTGAGGCCTCTTGCTTTCAGCCCTGTACACCTTTGTGCTCGAAAGAAAACATCAGCTGTCTCCACACAGGAAAACAGTGTGAAAGAAAAATTTATAGAGAGTGAAAACAATCAGGAATCCAGCAAAGTGTCTAAAAATAAAAATTCAAGTAATTTTTGAATAAGATCTTACCGTCAAAGTTTCCATCGATAATTCGACTAGAATCATTGTAGTTGTCCATTGATATGACGGCAATGCTGGGCATAAAGTTAAGTATCTTTTCAGTAAGTATACTCTTCCCAGCACCAGAAGGACCAGCTAACCCTACCAATATCAGTCCATCATTCTTTTGGGTTAACAACTGACATGCACGGATTACGACAAAGAAACCTTTCTCAAATGACAGAGTATCTACGAAAGGGACTATCTCATGACGGTCACAATCTTTTTTCTTGACCAAGCGCACTTGATCTTTTAAGAGGCCATGTCTTCGCTGAGTTAATTCAGCAGTAGAAGTATCCTCAGCCATTACAAATATGCTGGCTTCCTCTGGAGAGAAAAATAGAAAGAAAAAGCATACACAACTACATAAGTCATTTTGAACAAATTTAAAACTGCAATGAAAATGAGTTAAAAGCTTAACAACTAAAAGAAGCAATTGCATAATATTTAGTTGTTAAACCAAATTGTTTAGACAGAAGCAACAGCACCCAGATAGATTTGTGATGTTTGAACGAACACCAATTGAGGTTATGCAGAAAAGCTAAATGGAAATGCAAATGATCACTGACTTTTGTATGGCATCTATCACGTGTAGTTCATTGAAGATGGATATGTAACCATATAATAAGAGGAAAAAAAAGGACAACTTAGTGCACGAGGCTCCCCCACTATGGGTTTGGGGAGGTCAGATGCTTTCAGCCTTACCCCCGCATGCAAAGAAACTGTTTCCATGATTCAAAACCTTAGGTCACAATGAAGCAACCTTACAACTGCGTCAAAGTCCACCCCCAATCACAAAAGAAAAAATTTGATGAAATTAGAACTACCGAACCTATTCATATATTCAAGTAACCACATAATTACCTATCTCATAAGTTAAGTATCATGCAGTGAACAAATTCAGTTTTAGTGGAATGTCAAAATGCGAACATTTCACGTTTATAAGTTATAAAAGAGCTACCATATTAAACATTTTATGGATCTATGCTATCCTTTTAGTATGGCTAACCTGAAAAAAAAAACCTGCAATTCAAGTGTTGTAGCACATTTTATGGTCAAGCAAATAGAAAATAATTAGGAGTGATGGTCATTCCAATAACACAAGCTTATAATCATAAGATCGCTTTACAGAGGCATGAGAGCCAAAAACAAATATAACGAAATGTAAGAGAACATTTATCCACTTGGCGATTGGATGAACAAGGCCTAATTATTGCCAAGGCAACATGCATTTAAGATAGAATTGTTAAGCCTTGTTGCTTGGCCACATTCGAAGGGCATATAAATACGTACTTATGTATCTGGTGAAGCCCCTATATTTAGGTAAAATAAGAGGTGATAAGGTCGTGCCCAGTGCAAAATTTTCTCGTCTATAGCAGAACTAAAAAGATAAATGGTGGGCTACAACATTTTGGTGGTAAGTGTTTATCAAAGTGTATATAATTATGCTGTCTGAAATGAAACAAGAATTGCAAGACCAACTATAGAAGTTCCCACGTCACTTTAGGTCACAGAGATGTGCCAGTTTTGGTACAAAGATATCATCAGTTATGCTCGACAAGAACAGAGGAGATCTCCTCTGGTGCACGCTGCTTCTACATTCATACTATGTCTTCACACAAGTGTTTGACATAAACTAAGTACTTGCCAAAAATTATAGGAACTCAATCAGACTTAGTCATGGATTTTACAACAGTAAGTGTCGGAACTCATTCAATTGAGTCTTAAGTTTTCATCAGACTTCGCAGCCAAATTCATCCATCTTCCTTTCATATGGATGCTGAAGACTAATTCCTATCACAAACAAGCATTACACAAAATGATCAATCCATTTACAAGGGCCGAATCAGTAGATAAATAATAAGCTAGTATGTTGGAGAACTGGCACAAAACAAATGTCATACCGGCAATCAAATCATGGCAAATCCTATGGCTCTGATTAGATTCCTTATTGTCCGAAACCAATAATATCATCTCAATGCCATATTTAATACATTGCTAATCCCAGTCATTACCTTCAACGATAAAACTTGCACACTGCTCCATACTCCAACTGTAGTGAAGAAGAGTGCCAACAAAGAACTCTGATGAACAATAGATGGTGCAAAAACTAACCTATTATTCCCAAAATCAATTTAAATCCAGAAATAAAGCACCAAACTGCAACAGAGAGATCCCAATATGCATGTTCACAATCAAACTCATCACACCAAAAAAACACAAGCATTACAATAGCATCATAAAAGGATCACCAATCAAATAAAATGGCGAAAAATACCCTGATTAGAATATCAACCTAAATTCGATTACACACAAAGAAAACCCACAAAACAGACATATAAAAGCATTCTAGATACTTGTTTTGATCTCACGCTTCCATACAACATGTAACCGACTTGATCATACAAAAAACTACGAAACAAGAATTTAAAACACTCCCAATAAGAACAATGAGGATAAATAAGAAGAACCCAGAAGATACTATGGATCAAATCAAAACCAAAGTAATGTGTGTAGGAAAGAACTCACCACTTACCAGCAAGTTCAACTGGAATACCGTAGAAGCCTGGTCATTGACGGAGAGTGTTTTGATTTTCTTTTTCTCGTTGTGCGCGATTTTGTTTCCCGTCGACTGGAAAGGAATGTGATTTCCGGGACTTTTTGGGGGGTAGGGGAATCCCGAAGGATTTGCCACGCAGTTGCAACTTGCAGGAGCGCTTGAGAGAGAGAGAGAGAGAGTGAAATTGGCAATGCAGCTGAACAAATTTAAATACTAAGTTTTTTTTAATTGTATTTAACTAATAATTTAATTGCGAAAGAATTAAATTTTATTTTAATTCTTGTTAAACCTAATTATTAATTTATTCCATAAATATATGTCAGAGAATTAACTCTTATTTTAATTCTTATTAAATTTAATTATTAATTTATTCTATTCATATTTTGGTACCCTATATGTTATTTATTTAGACATCTTGCAAACTTTTTTAGACAATTTTTCCTTTATTGATAATAAATTTTGGTCTTAAGATTGTCCCTATATATATAATATAAAATTTAATATTTTTTTCTTATTATAGATATCAACACAGATATAGAAAATTATATGTAAATAGTATACTTATAAATGAGTTTAAACTAATTTAGAAGTTAAATACTACTTATAAAAGAGTTTAAAATAACTTAAAAGTCAAATATATACAAAAATAAAAATTAGATGAAAATAAATATGATAATTTAATTAATTTATTATAATAATTAGACATAAAAAAAAATTACGTATGCTGATATTTATAAGTACCACAGCTAAATATAAAAAATTCCTAAAAAAAAATGAATTTTTTCGTCAATATGAAAAATCTAAAAACAAAATCTTTGATTATCTAGAAAATCCAACAAATTAAAATATTCAATACCAAAAAAAAAGAGAAGATAAATCTAACCTAAACATATTATTTAGAGTAAAATATTATTTTTAATTATAGGAGTTATCAGAATCATAAATCAAAATAAAAACCATTTTAGTCGAAATAACTATCTTTTGTAACACATTTTTCAAAGTGAATGAATAAATACAAAAAAAACTAGCCAAAGGCTTAGGAATTAGACTTTCAGTATTAAAAATTCGTTTTTTGAATTTTTTATAAGGAATTAAATTGAGACAAATTAATAATAAATCATACATAATATATAAGGGTCCAACATAATATTTAGAATCGATATTAACATATAATTACGCCATTGTAACTTGAGAAAATTAACTCTTAATTTTATTAAAGTAATTCCTAACAAAAATTTTATTTTTATTAATCACTTTTTTTTTGGGTAAGTATTTATTAATAACTTTGGGTCACATATAAAAAACCATCTTTTTGTGAATGTGAACACATCAAGCTAACCAAGTGTTTTAAATAGGCTGTGGGACTCCTCAAGTTGAAACTGTCAATTGCCATTATTAGAATGAAGAAAAAACTTCTGATTGATAGGATTACACTGCACACAACAACCTAACAGGGTTTCCGAGGTTAGGTTTAGCCTCCATTGAAAAAATTAAGACAAATCTTGTTTATCTCCGTATAGTCTATAATTTTATAATTACTAAAATCATATATTTGTTTTTTTTTATTTTTTGATAATCAAGAATTATCTCAAGCAAGTGTTATCTGAATTCCTGCTTGTCATGTATACGCAATTAATTACAAATTGATACTCGATTGGTCAACTAAGGATTTGTTTTGCAACACTTGAATAGGAGATATTGAAGTATTAACCACTGAAATCTTGTCGCCCGAACTATCCCGATGTTGTTATCTCGCAAAAACATTGAAATTTTGAGGTTGAGATTAGAAATTTTATTTTCAGTGGGAGTTAAAATGATGTAAATAGGAACACATAAAAAGACAGCGACAAAGATGTCCAAAAGGTATTATATTCTTCTAGTTTGAAACTTTGAAATCATATATGTGAAGCAAATAAACACCAAAAATGTGAAAAACTTGCAGTCTTAATCATGTTTATCTCCATATGATCTACAATTTTATAATAATTGAATCATATTTTTCTTTTATTTTTAGATGGTCAAGAATTGTCTCAAGCAAGCCTTCTTTGAATTCTTGCTTGTCATGTGATGATGCATAAAACTATCTCGTGCAAGATCAATAGTCGAATGTGTGAGAAAGTGTAATTAATGGATAATAAATAAAACAATCAATGACAGTAATGTAAATATTGAGTCAACACAAAGATATATAGTAGTTCAGTCCGAGTGACATGTTCCACTCTGGAGAACTGCAACGGTGGAGGGGGGTTTTTATTGATCAAGCAAGGTGGATAAGAGAAAGAGTAATGGTTAGTTCCGAGAGATATACAATAGCTAAAAGAGAGAAAGTGTGTGTAGAGAGGTGTAGAGGCAAAACTCAATGTGTAGTGAGATATCTTTCTCAATGGAGAGAACTTATAATTTATAGGCATGGTAAGACGATGACATAAGTGTGAGAGTACTAATTTTTTGGGGAAGATAGTTACAAAAGGTAAGTACAATTAAGGTAGCCTTGATCTTTGAGAGTGTGTATCCCGATAATCTCTCTCACGTGCTCTTATCTTCTTGGATTCCTTGAATCTTGGATTGGGTCGGATTGATAAACCGGGCTTGCCCTACATTCTAGTGGATCTGGGCTTGTTTGATTTATTGGTTCTAGCCCAATTACATCTAGGCTCGTCATCATGTATACGCAATCATTTATAAATCGATATCCAGTTGATTAGCTTGGATATGTTTCGCAACACTTGAAAAGAAGATATTGAAGTGTTAATTAATGAATTCTTGTCACCCAAGCTATTCTGACGTTCTAATCTCACAAAAACATTGACATCTTGAGGCTGAGATTACGAATTCTATTCTTAGCGAAGTTGAAATAATGTAAATAGAAAAACATATAGAGACTAAGACAAAACTGTCCAAAGGTGTTACATTCTTCTAGTTTGAAATTTTAAAATCATATATGAAGCAAATAAACACCAAAAATGTGAAAAACTTGCTGTCTTAATCATGTTTATCTCCATATAATCTACAATTTTATAATAATTGAATCATACTTTTATTTTATTTTTGGATGGTTGAGAATTATCTCAAGCAAATCTTTGTTGAATTCCTGCTTATCACGTATACGCAATCACTTATAAATCGATACTCGGTTTATTAACTAGGATATGCTTTGGAACACTCGAAAAAAGATATTAAAGTATTAACAACTGAAATCTTGTCACCCGAGTTATTTTGACATTTTTATCTCACGAAAATATTGACATCTTGAAGTTGAAACTAGGAATTTTATTTTATGTGGGAATTGAAATAATGTAAATTGAAAAACAAATAGAGTTTATATTCTTCTAGTTTGAAATCATAAACACCAAAAATGTGAAAAACTTGCATCTCTTTCCAGAATAAAAGTACTTTGAAATGGTAAATGTCCATAGAAATCAGTGCTTTCGAGAAGCAAGTTGAATTTTTATCTGAATGCTTTGGGTAAACAATAGTACTATTTAAATTTAATTTATTGACATAATTTATTAACTTAATCAATCACAATCTTTGAAGTGGTAGCGGGTTTCAATAAATATTAGGATCTATTATCGTTCCAACAGTTATAAGTAATTAAGTTAACGAATTAGATCAATAAATTATGTCCAAATTAAGCAACTAGACCTTTTGATCATGTGGAGGTTTTAGCCTTTGAATTATTGGATAGCCTTGGTAAGTACAGCTGGTCGAAAGAAGCTATAGGCTAGAGCAAATATTCAACAGTCAATACAAAACTCTGAATTTGCCAATCAGCTATCTCTCACCAAGCTGAAAACATATTTTCTTTTTCTTTTTCTTTTTGTTATTTGGATAGTTTTTTCCATAGCCCTTTTAGTCCCATCCCATGAGACACGACCCCACACCACTTATTCAGGACGAGGTGATTTCTAATTCACGAGGTTGTTATCCTAGTCTCGTGAAATTCAGAGTTTTATGAACGTAAAGAGAGGTGCATGGTACAGAAAGTGATGAGATTGAACTACTGATGTCATTAAAATTTTGGAAAATGCTGTCTTCAATTGAAGTTGCAGTGTAATGTTTTCAAGAAAAGAGAGGCAATTCATTAAGTAGTGTTTTGTGTATGTGTTGAAGGGTAATCTAGGACTTGAGTTTAGTCATTTGATATTTGGTCCAATTTCCAGGTGAGATCATCAGAAAACTCACTTTACAAAGTCGAACATCTTAAGTTCAAGTCTCTTTTTAGGATTACCCTTAGAATTTATTCTTGTAATAGTAATCGAATACCTCATAGTTAACGAAATGTAGAAAAAAACCAAATATTCGTCACACATTGTTGCCTTTTCAAATGTAAAATGTTTCTTAAAAGATCTTGAGCAACAATCTTTCAGTCTTGTACATATAAGTATACAACATACCTTTTCTTCATTCCACTGCAACTTGCAGATATCAAAACACCACTCTTTATGACCAATACAAATTGAATAACAGAAAACTTGTACTTTAACAATGTCCCTATTACATAAATCTTATGATTTTGGTCTTCTTGACCACCACCTTAAAAATAAGTTGCACCTCATGTGTTCACAAACCTGCAATTCTTTCTCACTTCTCCATCAACATAAGTGTCTGGATTTATTATATTCCCCATTTTCACCATCGATTCTGCGAATTTCTCGAAGAAAGCAATACCATTTTCAGCATACTTCTGCACAAGCTGCTTCGTTTCGAGTCCAAAAACACTGGAATACAGTTCCTGATCTGAATTGATCAGTCCGTCCCCTTGTAAGAGTATATGGTAATAAGAATTGTCAAAGAGGTTAGGTGTGACATAGTCCAAGGCGGACTCGTTATTGTCAGCCTTGGTAGCCGGAGCAGCCGGGCAGATGGATCTCAGTTTGCTGAGGTATGTCTCAGAAATTGGATTCATTGTTGCAGTAGTTTCGAAGTCTCCATAGATTCTTCCTCGGAAGTTCACGCAACGTGCCATGCCAATGGTGTGAGCACCTGCCCCGAGACCAAAAACCAGTGTGACAATATGTCAAAGGTTGAAGAAAGATGATTTCTTTGCATGATTTACATTTGTTAGTGAGTAGTAGACATACATTATTACTGGCAAATGGGCGGATTATTTGTAAAACAAATTCAATCCGTTTTTAATTTTTTAATAAATGAGTTATAATGGATTGAATCATAATGGATTGAGTTAAACTTATTAACCCGTAAAATAATTAAAACTCTTAATATGAACGCATACTAATGTACCAAAATTACACACACTAATCTATACATAAAAAATACACACACATATACTAACACACAAAAAACACAAACACATTTATTTTATTACTTGTGCCATGGGTTGTGGGTCAGGCCTTGTCACGGGTCGGGTTGTGGGGGTCGGGTGTATTAGTGTGTGTGTTTTAGTGTATTAGTGTGTGTATTTATTTTTGTGTATTAATATATTTATTTAACTTTATTAGTAGTGTTATTTAATAAAATAAATAAATATTCAACTCAATGGGTACACATTTATAATTCATCTTAACCCGTTTAACTAAAATGAATCAAGTTATCTTAATCCATTTATTTATGGACGAATTAAGCGCATGAATAATGAATTAAATTGTCACCTCTAATTATTATGGTCAAATGAGGTTAAGTTACTATTCCACGAGGTCCAAAATTTGGGATCGGTCCTCATTAACTCGCCCTCAAGTCATAATTTTGCTTGTTTAGTTCATAACTCGGCTTGATTCGCTCGTTACCACATCATCATATCAATAAATTAGACCAATTTTTTAAGTCCTAATAACATTAGTCCACTTTTTCTATGTTCCAATGGCATTACTTTCGTTTATATGGCACTTACCAGAAAGAGCTACCATGTCTTCAGCTGAGAGGCCTTGATATAGAAACTTTGTTATAATAGAGAGAAGACCCTCATTTGCAGTAGGAAGATTTGTGCTCACAAGGTCATAGTTTGCAGTTTTGGAGTCCTTTCTGCCAAGAGGAACATCCCAATAAGGTCCACCAACCTGCAAACATAGGAAGAATATCAATGAACTTGTCGTTGATGTATTGATGTGTAGGCTACAAAATCAGCCAAAACTGTTCATGATCAACTTAGGATCGGCTCAGATGGAAGCCCGTTCATCTGTAAAACGAACCAAGCTCAAAATTCATTTCAAAACGCGTTTAATAACAAGTACTTGAACCCAATCATACATGTATATGAAGTTTTAAAAGAGCTGAGCTAAATCATGAATTCGAGTTTAACTCAAAGACATGCTCGGGCACGGTTGTTTATTTTGATGAGTCGAGCCTGGATTGGGAGAAAAACAAAAAAAATAACGAGTTAAGCTTGAATAAAGTATTTGAAACTCGTCAGGATCCAAAATGAACTGGCCAAGCCCGAACAGTTGCTTTGCTACTCATGAGCTCAACATGGTTCGATTCATTTGCCCTTCTCTATTTACGTCCAAAATTGTCAAATCTCCCTTCAAAGAAATAAAAAATATATAAGATTTGAAGTTCACAGCATTGTAAATGTACCAGAATAACTGCATCTCTTGCTGCAACAGTGAGGAGATCAGCACAAGAGACTATTCCAGGACACTCGGATTCGAGTTTGTTCTTGATCCTATCGATGATTCTGAACCCTTTCAGAGCATGAAAGTTAATGGGAGCCTTCTTCTCTCCTTGGAGTGTGATTGTGTCGTCCAGCAAAACTGACCCATCGCATCCCTGTCCTCATCATATCAAGAAATTATACTTTCACACTTCTATTATACTTTTTACTGTGTGTTGGTGTGACTCTGTCTGTTTTAATGAAGCTTGACACTCATTTCTATGCATAGTTTTAGTAAGCTTGGAAACATTTACAAATGTCCTTGAAAATATTGGAAAAATAGAAAAAGTTTAAAGATTTGTTCCCAAATTACTCTGAAATATCGATCCCAAAGCATTGGAAACATTCGTAACATATCAATTTTGATATTTGATCACTGGTTTGCTTTTGAATTCCACCGAAACATTCTGATCATTTCAGTGGCAACGAAATGAAAATGTTTCGCAAATTTGGTAAAGTTTCGGCTAATGTTTTGAAATCAAAATTTTAAATTCTTTTTCTAATTATTTTTTTTGCTTTCAAAGCTAATACAGAATTATAATGAAACGAAATTTTAATCTTTATACTTATAAACCAACAGCTTTGAGTCATATCCTTTAAAGATTATTAACTCTTATTTCTCTAGGATATTTTCTAATCCAGTTCAAATTACGATGATAATCGATGAATTTGAAGAAATAATTAGCACAAGTCTAAACTCCTGTAACTAAAATAAAATAGACGGTCTGAGAGCTAGAAAGATGCTGACCTGAACAAAGCAGTCATGGAAATGCAATCTTAATATCAAGGCGGCATTGCGAGGATCAGAGAGCACTGCACATTCCATTTCGCTCTTCACAATCTCAAGCACAGTCGGACATGTAGATTTGTAATAATCTAGCGTTAAAGGAAGGTCACTTGCATGCAAACCAGCACAAAAAATGTTGAGAATGATCAACAGCATGAAATGCAGAAAGAGAGGTCTGGAGGAGAGAGAAGGGTAGCTTTCTGCCATCTTTTTTTTTTGCTGTTCTTGCTATCCTTGGTGTTGTGTTTACTAAGAAAGTGATTGAGAAAGATGAGTGAGACTGGGAAATATATACGAGAGAAGACAATGTTTTTGGTCATGGCCGCTTGAGTGTGTTGTGCCAAGATGTTTGTAGTCAAGAGAGGATGCAACTACCATTGCACTGGTGGGTGGGTACCTCCACAACCAGAATTACTCAACTGTGAGAGAGGGAGAGAGAGAGAGAGTTTCAATTTGCAGGAAAGTTTGAAGGGTAAAAGATTAGCAGTTATCAAAAAAAAAAAGCGAGGCGTTAAGTTTGGTGGCTTGCCCAGATCGTACGAATTATATATTACACTGCTTACTCAAATCTTTCATACTGCTTCATCTCTCTCTCTCTCTCTCTCTCTACATGCATACATACACACACAAGTTGAGGTTTCTTGGATGAGATAGTCTTCTCAAAAAAAAAAAAACTAATTCATTGACTAGAATCATTTACTAATCCGTTTTGTTTTTGTTATATTGATTTTCACATCTCTGTGACATGGAAATGGTTGGCTGGACAGTTAAAAACAGATTAAGATATAGTTAATATATCTTCTTCTTTTGCTTTACAAAAACTGATTAATCACCCGACAAAGTTGGCTGACTTCACAAAAGCAGATAAGTGAAGCGGAAACTTGTAAATTAGACGTCTTAAATTTAAAATTTGCTAATTTTTTTGGTGTTAAATCATAAAGAATTTATCTTTCATATGAATGGTATACCTTTAATCAGATTGAAGAGATAATCAATCGAGAGTGTGCATAAGTTAACTCAAATACTACCAAATATATATATACCACAAAGGTGAACAACCTTATGATTGTTTTCACTTTTCAGCATACCCTAAACGGTCTATTTATTAAAAAATTAAGTATTTGTGCAGGAATTATCTACCTTTTATGTTATTAGGGATTATTTGGTGTATATAGGAAGAAAATTGTCCATTGTTTGTTTTGGAAGTTAGCGTGTTAGTGCAGTAGTATTTTTATATGCAATTGAAGGTCAATTGACACGTTCTCTGTTCACAGTTTTCTTCTCAAACAAGAATTTTGAAAGCTTTTCGTTCCTTTTCTTGTGTGGAAAATCTAGAATGGATGCGTCTACAATTCAGTCATAAACAAAGATTACCATCTGTAGATTGTTAAATTGATACGTCAATCAAATCCCTGGCTATACTTTGGGTAGTTAAAGTGGACATAGATGAATTGTAAATTTAAATTTTTTGAATTTAAATCTTACTAACTCTTTAACGTTAGATTATGAGAAATTTATCTCTCATGAATACCTTAGTCCCAGCGTGAATTTGTCTTTGATCAAACGAAAAAGGGATTAATCGATATGCGCATAAATTAATTCAAATATTCTTGACCGTCGAACAAAAACAAAAAAAAAAAAGAAAACCATGCCTATGCTCAAGCATGTCAAAATAGATTTGTTACAGCATTCCAAAAAACTGCAGTTCCCCTGCATCATCTTTGGAAATGTACCAGCTGACATGTTAAAGTTAGTTCCACCCATACATGGCTCACTTAGAACTATATATAGTCAGGTTTGAGTTGTGTATTTTGAAATTAGAGTTAATCCGTGTTTTTAAGCACGGTGCAATATAAATAATTTTTAAAAAAATATTGATAACCATTAGATAAATCTATTTGAGACCGTCGAATAAAATTATTAAAACCCGCCTTATTTTATATCATAGATTCAAATCGACCCATTTATTACACGGGTCAATCAAGTTGAAACCCGAACTTATTGAAGCAAAACTAATACCCGATAACTTCATTATTAAGATATTGTCTGACCACAATTCTACAACCCTGGCATCACATTAAGGACTTCACCCCCTCCATTCTGCAGGCAATGTAGCCTGTGGGGTTCGTTTGGCAACTACCTACGTTCATGATATAGCAAAAATATAACAAGGACGAACCAAAACAACAAAATCTTTACCACAAAGAGCATGCTTAAAGCATTTCCGATTCCTCATTCACATCAAGGTAGTGTAAAGTGTAAACAGTAAGAAGTCTGTCTTTGTTCACTAACATTCCTAGACTAGATTTCGTTCAAAGCTTCGCTGGACCAATCTGGCAAGTAAAATTTCCACAAATTACCGCCCTGGTGCTTCCCATGAATCCCCAGTATCTCAGTTATGAAATACCATCAATCTGCAGCGTTTATCCAGCTACATTTGTGGCATTTACCTCTGCACCACTTTTCTTGCCAAAGTCCTTTCTATGAGAAAATCTCGTCACATAACATCTCTCATTCATATTTTGTAAAGACCATCTCTGTTTCAGAGTACCATCCCAAACATAGAGCATGAACCCCTGTTGGCAATGCAAACATGATATCCCTAATGTGTGTGTGTGTGTTTTTTTTTTTTTGGGGGGGGGGGGGGGGGGGGAGAGAGGATTCAGCACAACAGGTAAACAGTAAAGTACTACAAAAATGAAGTGACAATGAGCACCTGAAGTTCTGAAAGCAAAATGAACAGCTTCTTGTGTCAGGTATACAACTCAGAATCAAGGTGGTGATTCTTGGTTCGACCAAACCTAAGACACTCATCTTCACCTTTTTCATCAATGCTATGTTCTAAGCCAGGTACGACATCCTTGAGCAGTAGAGACTTCACTAATGATGTCACTGGACCACCAAATTCGGGCCAGGAAACACAAAGAGTTCCCTTAATCTTCTTCATCTGACATCGACCTAATAGAGCAGCAGCCAGGGCATCTATCACACTTCCTGATGGGAAGTAGTCTAAATCATTCAACATTGGTGAATCTCCATGGCCATCAACTGACCCTTTCCTTTCCAATGATGTCTCTAGCTTGAAGGCATATGTATCATCTGGCGAAAGCTTGCCCCGAAAGTTACAGCTTTGAACAGAATCCAATACCAAAACCCTTTCTGGTATGATCTGGTCGCCAATCAGCAATTTGGCAATAGCATGAGATCTCTCTGGAGCAACCGGGTACTGGACGGCAACGATCATAATTGGTTTATCATTATCATTTAGAGCATAAATGTTGCAGGATTTGTCTCTAAGAGAGGGTTCAACAGAGTTGCCAGAGAAGGGAATCTCAGGGAGGATGACGGTTCCAATTAGAGTTTTTGAGGACACATGGTGGAAGAAGGAAAGAGATGGAGATGACAAGGCAAAGATGAGGAGAGAGGGGCAGAGAGGTTTGCCATGGTTGGGAGTAGAGAACAGCAGGAAGGGAGACGGCAGAGCAGGTGAGGGAGGAGTGAAATTGTTGAGATCTTCCATAAAGAACCTTGAAGGTGGGGGAATATCTGTAAGCACATCTTCCATTTCTCCTTTTGAAACAAGTTCTAGCCCCTGCCAAAAGTATGCGAAAAGCTATATTATCACAATACTAAGTCTTCAATAGTCTAGTTAGAAAAGCCCATTAATCTGCCTAGATCCCTGCCAAGTTAGATAAGGAATGACCTAAATTATGAGCATAAAAAAAGTTCATTCTGTTGGTGTCTATTAAAATATAGAAAAATCACCCACAGCGTACTAATAACAAAAATCATTCTGTAATCACGCAATGCATTTTATAGTCACACGATCATTCACTTCATAATTAATTACATCAACCCTGCCATGCTTTGGCATGATAAAACCTAAACCCTAAATCCTTACATCCTTTAAGAACCCCTCATGTTGGGAAATGTACACCCTATGTTTATACTGTGTCTACTCTAGAAACACCATGCCGTTAGACACCGCTCCTCTACTGGTATTACAATCTCTGACACCATTTGGCAGAATTGTAGAGGACAAAACCACCCTCATTGAACTTCTCCCATCCCATTGTCAGGGAACAAAAGTCTGGCTGGAAATGTAACCTACAAACTAAATGCAGAGGTGCAGCTTTTTGGTTTGGGAGGCTAAAATGCCTATTAAGGTGCAGTTTTTTGGTTGGACAGTACCACTTCAAAAGCTTAACACGTATTCCCCCGAATGGTGCATTATGTATAGGAGATGCAATGAAAGTGTGGCTCATCTATTTATCCATTGACACGGTGGAGTTGAAATGGTGGTATAGAGCTTTGGGTAAATTTATTTTGAGTCAGATATTTCCAAGAGGATGTAATATCTATTTGAAGCAAACTATGCTGTTGTCGGGAAGGTGTGCAGAGCATCTATCTTGTGAGAATGTATCATAATAACAATTTTTTGGGGGGTGTGGGCGGAACATAACAGCAAAAATTTTTCAAGAAAAGAAGAATTTATGGAGTTTCCTGAGATAGACCAAAGTTTTTGACTTCTATTTGGGCATTGACTTAAAAAGAGTATAAGAGTATGCCATTTTTCTCTCTTCGTAGTAATTGGATTGCAGCATGTAACTAAAGGATCATTTCCTCTTGTTTTAAGGGATTTAGTTTCGATGTATTTTCCACTTTTATTTCTTTCATGAGGTTTTGTTGTCCACCGCTTTGTACATTGTACTTTATGAAATGAAAGATTTGATTCCTATTGAAAAAGATAGTAGAGATATCATGGAAGTTCTCAATAAGGAGATAATTAAACATACTAGAACCCTACTAAGAGGCCATTATCAAGAAGTGAGAACACATGTAGGACATGGAGCAACTTTGCTACCAGCATACTTACTACCATATCAGACATATACCATAAAGATTCGCTGTATCGAAATACAATATCTAAATAACAATTAGAAAGGACCTATTCATAATTCAAAGATATGTTAACTCGCATATCATTTTAGCTCAAAGAAATAACTACATACAGAAGCTTAACATAAGGGTTTATTCTGGCAACATGCAGTAACTTGTTTTTTTTCACAAAAATTCAACCATTCCTATTACAGGATTACTAACGCATGAAAAGTGTAAGTTCACATTGCACTTCCGGTAGAAAATTAAGAATTCGACCATTGCTAATACAGTATTACTAAGTGTAAGTTTGCATTGCACTTACGGTAGAAAATTAATAGTTCAACCAAGAAATATAACAATTTCAAAGGTACAAGACCTATACCTGGACTCAAATGCAGCTCATTTAATTCAGGCACTGCAAGAGTGTATTGATGGTTATTTAATTCAGTCGCCCATTTTCAGGTTACTTTAAAGCAAAAATGAAAAGCCAAATCCCATATAAGCTCACCCTCTGTTGACATCTTCTGAATAGGAGTGTTAATCGACATGAGCAACTCGGCTCGGCTTGGACTCAGTTAGGATAAGACTTGGCTTGAGCTCGAGCTCATGTTTTAAACGAGCTGAATTTAAACAATTTTTTAAGCTCGTTTAGAAAAATAAGTTTAAAAAGTCTCGACTCAAACTCGCAACGTTCGACTCGTTTATATGCAAAATAATCAAGCTACTTAGACTCGACTCGGGTTTGGTACGGGCTCAGACTCGGCTCAAGTTCTAAACAAGCCGAACTTGAATAATTTTTTAAACTCGTTTAAAAAACAATCAAACTTGCAAAACTCGACTCGATTAACACCCTTACTTCTGAATAACATAAAGGAGACAAATTAAAATTCAATCTAATCTCCCAATTCCATTATTCGAACTAGTTAATATGTGAAATCGTAGTGAGGTATAAAATTACAGGGACTTGGGTTATAAACATTCAGCTTAGCAAATCATCCTGAACTTCTAATCCACTATAAAATAAGTATGAATTGTTACAAAATCTAGAGTTTCTGAATTATGGTCAATTCAGAAACAAGAAGAGAAAAACAACCAAAGGCATATTTTCATTCAAGCTATAAGGATCCGATCCTTATATTTTTTAAATCTATAAAGAACAACAGCTGAAACGCAACAAAGAAATTGATTTTCTTCTTCTTTTTTGTTCTGTATACGTACAACAATCGTTGAAAGGAAACGAACTCTAAGAATGAGCATAAAGTCTTGAAAACACACAGCAACCGCCACATTGCTTGAAACGAAAGAAAAGTTCGATATCGTTTGAGAAAGAGAAGAGGAGGAAGGAAATATTACCGCTTACAGAAATGGCGGTGGCGACACGACGGATAGAGGTTAGAGCGAGGTGGCAACCGCAACAGACCAGCGAAGATGGGTAACTCAAGTGGAAGTCGGAGGATTTCTCTCTCTCTCTCTCTCTCTCTCTCTCTCCTGCACCAAGTACCATAATCTCCAAGGACAACATACCCTGCCTCGAACCATATTGACCAAAGAAAGTGAATTTGATTCAATTAGAATATGATATACTTCCAAACCATAACGCTTGATCATTTTCAATCCATCCAATAAAGCTCTCCCTTCAGCCATCATATTGGAACCCTCTCCATAGAAGAAAGATACAGCAAAAAGGGGTAAACATCAAACAACAATCTTTCACCTCCTGCTTTTGAACCATATTCTAAGCAAACCCAATTGAAATTATCAATCTGAAACTCCAAATTCTAACACCAAATCTCATAAAAAGAGACCACTATATATATATAAAAGATAATTCAGTTCTTGTTTCTTCAACTGAAACTAAGAAATACCCAACAACAAATGGATCTAAAATATCCAACCTAAAACTCCAATCTAACAACGAAAAATACCAAATAGCCAAATAGCCAAAGAATAAATTCAAAAGTCTTCAGCACAAAAAAGTCTAATTTTTCGCTTTTCTACCCAAATCAAAAGTCAACCCAAGAGCCGACTTATCATCAGTTCACTCGGTCCCTTCATATTTATTCCAAATTCCCACAAATCCATAAACTAACAGTATGATTATACCCGCCATAGAACAATTGATTGGAATTTCCTTTTCCCCCTCTCGAATTCTGTTTCCTGCTTCATCTAACAAGTCGTACAAGCGCAGAGAGACTCATCTTTCAGCAACATGAAAAAGTTAGCAGCATTATACTAGAACAATTTAATAATTTTTGGTGAAAGCTTTTAATAATTTCTGTTGGAGAAGAATTTATGACAAACATACACACACAGAGAGACTCACATACACAGCCCCACAAATCGACATCCACACCCACACCCACACCCACCCACCCACAAATCGACACACACACACAGAGACAGATACACACAAAATCTAACTCAGATCTAACAAATCTAACTCAGATCTAACAAATCTCAGGCAAGAGAGTGGCACAGACAGACCTTTGGGTCTTCGTTGCACAGACACGAGAGAGACCTTCGGTCTTCGTTAGAGAGAGAGGCGAGAGAGAGGTCTGACGAGTCTTGTTGAACAAACAAAGAAGCGAGAGAGAGAGAACGGCGATGGAGAATGAAGGGAGAGTCTCGTTGCACAGAAGAGTAGACAGAATGAAATGGGATTTTATAGTTCAACAAAAAAAGATATGTTTTGCTGCTAAGAAGAGTCGAAGCTTGGATCTCAAACAAACAAAATACAAGACAAAAACAGTAAACAGCACCCAATTTCTCACTCGCTATATGCCGTGAACGGATTGGATTTGGATCTAAATTTGTCAGATCTGAATTTAATTTTAAAAAATCCGATTTGAATTTTGAAAATTTTCAGTTAGATCTTTTTTAATTTATCATATCTTTAACGACATTTTTTTTATTTTTTGAATCTTTACTGACACCTCCTATTACAATTTTGCTAAATTACCAATAATATATTTTAAAAAAAATTTGATCTACACCTCCTTTAGATAGGTATATCCTCTATTTTTTTAATTTTTTTTATGTATTAAAATTCAATTCAAGCTTAACTAAAATTTATTTTTAATTAGATTGAATCAAATTTTAATCAACCCAAAATTTGATACAAATATAAAATTTAATCAAAGCAAATTTTAATTACTTAAAAATTTTAATTGGTAAATTTTAATACGTAAAAAAATACTTAATCGACGCTACCAGCTTAGGTTGATCTCTTAATCGACGCTACCAACTTAAGTTGATCTCGAATCAACTCAACCAATTCGAATCAAATTTTAATACGTAAGAAAACGAATTTTAATCAGTTTGAATTTTAATATGTAAAAAAATTAATTTTAATCAAATTTTATGTATAAAAATTGTTTGAGATTTATGTAGAGACAATTTTAGTATTTTAGATTAATTTTTTTTTGCGAAAAATAATAGTTTAATAGCAGAGGGTATCAGTGATTTTAAATATAAATTAAAAAAAATGTCAGTGATATTTTGAATAATAGAGGAGACTCATTGAAACTATATCTATCTAGAGGGAGTGTGGATGATGATTACCTTTGAATTTAATTCAACAAATTTTATTTTCGTGGTCCATATTTAAATCTGTTAACAATTCAAAATTCGATGAATAACTTAATTAATTAAATTTCAACTAATTTTTTTAATATTTATATAATAATATGTAAATAATTCAGATCAAATCATAATTGAATGGAATATAAATATATCCAAATCCATAATCCTACTTGCTAGTTAATGTGACTCTGGAATTTAATACAATGGGCACCAAAGGAGGGTTGGAGCATAGGCATAGCATCTACAGACTGTTTCAGTTTCTTATTCAGAAATAACAAGATAAACAAGAATAATAAATGCTCAATCACCCAAGTAATACGTCATGGGTTTAAGGTTTAAGCCCAAGTCCGAGAATCAGTTTCATATCTACCACTTATCTCTACTAGACCCCGTGATAAGCTTGAGCCTGGTGCGCACTGGTGTGGCCAAAAGCAATCCCACGGGTGGCTACACGACTCAGAAGCCTCAATAAGGCAAAAATCTGCTAACTTATGGGTACTCAAATCTAATAAAAACATTGGAGTTTCAATAAATTTGCTTATACTGATATCTCTTGGGAAAACCCTCAGCCAGTAGGTTCAAAAGTACAGAATTGTCAAAGCTATTATGGGCCTTCCTTGCTACAAATGGAACAAAACATCGTTGAGCCAGCAGGACATGAACAGAAACATCCAGTCACAAATCACAATCCTTTTAAAAAACTTGCTACCCTTAACTAATCTCAAACCAAAATCCATGTCCCTGCAATTACATGCAGATCTATCTGATAGTAAGTGTTTCATTTGGACTCCCAAGCGTCATGTAACCTCAGTTGCTTTCCATCTGCTAAAGAGATAATAAGAAACTGTCTTTCTCAATTCATGCGGGCAGTAAAATTAATTTACTTACAACAAATTTGGGGGATGCCTTGAAAATTCCATGGAAACTGAATCATCCCTCTATGTTTTAAGTAGGAGTGGAGACATCTCCCTCAAGGTTTCAATAGCATTCAGATGTGTCTCCTGTTTGTTATCAACACCATTTGAGAATAAGGAATAAGGTGGAGCCGAATCTGCTGAAGAGAACCCATTTTTGTTTCGATACACGAATTAATGATTATGGTTAGAACCCAATTTTCCACATGAATTAATGATTAACGTGAATCAAGCAGTGAATGTGACGTTATCAATCTTCATGTTCGTCTTCAGCTTCAGAATCTACATAAGGAAAAAAGTCATTAAAGATCAGGAACAAAAAAAGAGGATAGGTAACAGAAGGCATCTAGTGATTTCAATTACAGCTAATCAAGCTAAATTATGTGGCTAAATAAATCATGTCACAAGTGTGTAAGAAGATGCACCACCCCCAAAACTTCATCAATCAGGTCAGGCAATCTATGATCTGACCTATAATTCTCCTGACTGTCTAAAGGATAAATCCATCATAACAAAACCAGCTCAGAGTGGGTTGGAAATTTGGAAAGTCATTCATTATCAAGGATCAACGAGTCACCATGTATAGTGTTACCCTCCTTTGGAGAGGGGAAAACACTTACAACCAAACACAAAGAAGCCAGGGTGCATTAGAGATGCATAAAAAAGCCAGGTTGGGCATGGTTGGAGGAGCAAAATGTCTATAATTGTACTTTATCTAGTTACATTGTGTGCAGTATAGGGATAGATTTTTATGTATGGGGGTGGCCTCTTTACAGTAAATGTGGGATATATATGAGTCCTGTTAAGCCAGGGCAGGAGTGACAATACTGTGATTTTCCCAAAGCTCGGCAAACTTAATGCACATTCTATGTTTGCCTCATGCTGGAGTATGGTGGCAGGATTCCCATAAACCCAAGACCCAGCCAAACCCATGTTCAGTACTTACTACCCCAATCTTCTGTATTCCAGACCCCTCCGAATAGTGTCAGCGTGGGTTGGTCACACAAAGTTACATCTAATATTCATTCTAGGTCCAATTAGCCATATAATGAAACCCCACTATAGTGAGGGAACTCTCCCTCCCCTCTATCTCTGGGACCTTAAACTTTTCTCCTGGAGAGAATATTGTCAGAATTCGTTGTTTCTTAGTTGCAGATTGAAAGAGTGTGTGTGCATATGTTCACTTTGCAAACCCATCTAAGTAGCTTGTTTCACTTACCTGATCGAACATCGTCACTGAGTTGGCCTCTTGCTTGAATTTGTTTAACAAGCATCCGGTACATCAACACCCACCAGTAAATGTGAAGAACAAGCAAGCCAAAAAGAAGAGAATTGAAGACATAATAGTAGATAGGTCCAGCAACTTTGTGCTTCTCCATATTTATGCTCTGAATGGATTCGTAGCTGTCACAAGAAGAAGGAACAAATCATCAGTAAATAAAAATAATGGTTTCCAGATCAACGGAGTATTTCTCGTAAAATGCAAATCATAAGTTCATTATAGGGTTAATTGCACTGGAGGTTCCCAATGTATGAAATTTGTCTCATTTTGGTCCCCAATATTTTAATTGCATCATTTTAGTTCCTAAAGTATTAAATATGTTTCTATATGGTCCCTCAAGCAGACATCATTCATTGCTAACAATTTTTTATCCTAAACTTGTCATGTGATACTTAAATATGGACAAAAATATAAATTGATTAACTCTTGACTAAATTTCTACTCAAATTTTGGTTAAATGGTTACTCAAATCACACAGTTTTGATCATGAGCTATCCTATTTTGGTTAAAAACTACCCACATTACACATTTTTTTTCAAGAGCTACACAAATTTTGTTTAAGAGCTATCAAAATTATTTTTTGTCCATATTTAGGTATTACGTGACAAGTTTATGATAAAAAATCGTCAACAATTTGGACGTTGTTTGCTTGAGGGACCATATAGAAAATATATTCAATATTTCAGGGACCAAAATGATACAATTGAAACATTATGTACCAAAATGTGACAAATCTCATATTTTAGGGACCTCCATTGAAATTAACCCTTCATTATAAAAGAGAACAAGATAAAAAAAAAGGGAAGTTGCGAGAGATACACACACACACAGATGGTATAAATACACAAAACTATGGCGTTAAACTAACTATATGGCAATTAAAGTAAAAAATAGTCATAGTTCTGTCAGCTCTGCAATAAAAACACGGGGACAATTAAACATCACAAACAGAATCTACCTAAGAAGAAGGTAGTCACATGTAACGAGTACTTTTAAATAATAAACCCAACATGTCCATCAAATGACAATGCTACAACACAGCTATTTCAAGCCATGACTAGTACAGTGGTACACCTATGGAATAAATCTTACTTTTTAAATCAAGGATCATCAGGTCTCCCTTATAATTGGGATTCACAACAACATTACTTCAATTACAATTATTTAGACTTTCAGCTCTAGGAACAAATCATCACAAAGTCAATATCTAAGTGACAAAAGGGATGAATTTCTAGCAACATTACAGCTACTTTATATGCATCTAACAGCAAATGGGTACAATTTTTACTATCAGACGTTTTGAACTTCGTTCCTTGGCTGAGAATGGTGCAGAAATCATGGATAAATTTGAAAACAAATAGAAATGACAACAAATACTCCTAGGAATAATACATCAAGTTTGCATTCTGTTAATGGGTATGCACTATTTAGCACATCAATAGATCATGCTGATTAGGCTGCACCCCTATTCACTTCTTTATTAATTTGTAAATTTTGTTAGATATGCCCCCTATTCATCCACAGATGCAAATCATAAATATGTTGCTGTAGAAACACGGACAGTGTACCATGGAAAACTCCCCCCCCCCCACAAAAAAAAAACCAAAAAAAAAAGGATATATGAGCTTATGGATAATTTCAAGGTGATCGATATGAAGCTCAAACTAGCAAAGAAGTCCATATATCATGAATGCTTCCATGATTCGTCCATTCCACCTAATAATATGTCACTGTAAAATTTTTTAAGTCTAATGAAAACAAGATTGGGGGATTACATTTTCACTTTAACCTTAACCATCTTCTGTATTAGAGACCAGAAAAATTCGAAGGGTATTATAGCCAATAAAATGTGCCATCAATTTTCACCTTGTACTCCAGAGGATCCAGAAGGGGTAGTAAATGAGGCGAAGTAGGGTCCAGGACAACACAAAAAGAATAAAAGAAAAGCTAGCAAGAGCTTCAGCACCACTGTATTTGGACATCTTTCCTACTTCCAGAAATACATCGCTAACATCATGAAGAGCTAAAACAACTGAACCAACACGTCCAAACCTGCATGCAGCAGACATAGGAAGATATAAAGTTTGATTTGATTGCCAAATTCATTTAGCAGTTGTCAAATGCTAGCATGGGATTCATTTTGATTCAACCAGTAGTTTGTATAGACTATTACCCCAATTTTAGCAGTCAGTCCAGGAACCATACTTTTATAGCCTCCTCTTGATATATGTATGTATTCTTTGTATAATACATAGATGACTTCATGTAATGAAATTCTTTGTGGAGAACTTTTTTCAGCTGCTTAGTTTGAATTCAACCAGCCTAATTGTGATTTAGTAAAGGAAATGACAACTGCAAGCGCACCTCCATCAAATATACCTGAATATGTATGATAACATAATGAGAATGGCAGTTGCGACATGATGACCCATTGACACCCCAAAGTCAGAACGCCTTGTTTCCCAAAATATTAGGGCAAACATGGAGTATGTGTAGAATCCACCAGTATACATATATAGTCCCTTCAACTTCAACCTGGAAACAGTCAATCAAATAAATCCCAGTAGCAAAAATGTGCAAACTTTCAAATCAAAGCATTGGCAAAATCTAAAAGACAGAGAAAGCTAAAGAGGATCCTTAATGAAATAATCATCAGCGCAAGGTATTTGCAACTCTTACTTGTATTTCTGGTCAGGCCAGACCTGATCTCTTGGTCCTACCCAAAAATATCTTGTCTTAGAAAACCAAGGCTCATCATAAGTCACAGCGAGTGCTATAAGCTCTGCAGAAAGATAATAAACACATTTCCATGCTGATTCCTTGAATTTCCGTATCTTCTTTCTTCTTTTTTCCATCTCAACATCAAGCATCTGCTGCCCCTGTCCAAATATTAACCGTCTTCCCAATTTCTGCAACAAATACATTCATTTCGTATTGAGAATAGGATCTTCGAGGAAGAGGGTAACAATCTGAAATTGGATCCCCTACTTAGAGTAAGCTTATTCAGATTTCGTAATTATAACAGGCATTAATAGGGAATTGGTTCGCAGTTATCTTCTTCCTCTGAAAAACGGTATGTTTGGTTACGGTGAATCCTCTAATCAGGAGTTGAATTGTCGATATCTATAGTTGCATAGGTTAATTTTCCTTTTCTAATGCCATAGCCATCCTAAAAACATTATCTTACGCATACTCAAGTCTAGTATTTGATTGCTTTTTATAAGTCCTCTACAATCTTTTCATTAGGTTAGGAAAGAAAGGGTTTCAAGCCTACCTTCTGCGTGCTTTCATTCTGACTTGTGCCACTCCAGTCTCGTATTCAATCCTGGAAACGAAAGTCTAAGAAGCATGGACACGAACACGAGGCATAGATACGACACGATACGGACACACCGACATGACATTTCTCAAAAAAATAGGTCACGGACACGTTGGGGACACACTACAAAAAATTATATTTCATATATAATATTATATATTTTATTGCAAATATAGTGATAATGATATACAATTTATAAAAGATTCAGTATTTTATGATAAGTAAATCTTATATCTAGTATATATGTGAATTTTTAAACTAAACCATCCTCATAATAGTCAATAATCATCAAATTTTTTTGTGGACAATGTGTACCTAATATATAATTTAAATAATTGCTCTTATTTTCTCAATTCTTCTTTTTTAAAACTTTTATGCTTCTTTTGTTTTTATTATTATATTTAGAGTATAACTTTAACATGTCTAGTGTTAGTAATTATATATTCTCAAATTTTTAAGTTTTGTTAATCATATTTCAATACATGTTTACTATTTAGTAGTAGACATGTTCTAAATAAGTGTCGGACACGTAACCAAAGAAGTATTGGATACGCGTCCGAAATTAAAATGTTATCATTTAATTATAGACACGGATAAAAAAGTATTAGACACGTGTCTGAAGATTGTCGATGTCTGACATGGATACGTCAACTTCTCAAGAATGTCCGTGCTTCATAGGCGAAAGTTGTGGATGAGCATTTACCAGCATAATTGTGTGAATTATTCTGTTAAGAGTACAATCTCTTTTTCTACTTGAAATGGTCTTTTGATGTGGTAAGCCCTAAGGTTTTCGTACACCATCAATTGAAAAGTGCTTTGCAAAAAATGACAACAAAACGAACAAGAAGAAAGTTTGATCCCCAACTTAGAATTAGGAAAGGAAAATCTAACATGGTCGGAATCACAGAAAGTCTAGGCCGTACTGATTTTTGAAACACTAATCATTTGAAATCAAACGAAACAATACTTCGAGTTGAAGGCTGAATGGGACAAGGGAAGATAGATGAATGGTTGGTCTGATCCCGCGAGGAAAGAGTTGCAGGCCCTTCATTTCATATGAGACATAACAAGTTAACCATTGACTAAAAATGATCAAGTTCTTATTGCCAATCCAAAGCATTGGATAGGACTTTTTTTTTTTATGGGAAACAACCACTTTATTAATAAATAAGATGTAAATTACATAAGAACAAATTGGATAAGATATCCAACAAACTGTAAACAAATCAAGGCAATGAATAAAAAAGCCTATAGATCACATGAAGCTTTTCTTCCAGATAAAATAGGAAAAACGGAATCCCAAAACGTAAATTTCAAAGGGTAATTCTTACTCTTTAGGCAGACTTAGTAGTTTTGAGTAGCCATAAGATAACTAAAATACACCACCACAACTTCCCCCAACCCCACACCAAAAAAAAAAATCTAATTTATAAAGGATAGTAAAATCTCCATTTAATTTTCCTCTCTCTATCACATAACATCCTATTTAGCATTTGAAAAATGGTTAATACTTCTCTTATAGTCCTTGAAGTGTTATAACAGTTATGGTACTCTTAGATCCTAGCTATTTAAATTGGTGCGAATCTAAAGCAGTTCCTTTTTATTAGGCAAAGAAGGCGTAAGGAATTCCTTATAAGGTGCCAGTGTCACCATGTACTATGTGGGGTTGGATGCTAGAAATTCCACATTCCTTTTTCGCATTTAATTTGGTCTTCAAAAATTCTTGCATTCCGTTCTTTCTAAATAACCTAAAACGTAGTCATTATAACACAATTCCAAAGAGTAACACATTTATTAAGTCTTCTCAATCCTTTCATATCTTCAACAAACAAAGAATTTGATGTTGCAGGAATCACTCAGTTCATACCCACAACGCGAAACAATTGATACCACAATATCAATGCAACAGGACAATGTAAAAATAGATAATTAATACTCTCAAAATCACCTTTACACATCAATACTCTCACAGGGTTTTTTTGAAATAACTCTTACTCTTTAGGTAGACTTAGTAGTTTTGAGTAGCCATAAGATAGCTAAAATACACCACAACAACCTCCCCCAACCCCAAGCCAAAAAACAAAAATCTAATCTATATAGGACAGTAAAATCTCCATTTAATTTTTCTCTCTCTATCACATGACATCGTATTTAGCATTGGAAAAATGGTTAATACTTCTCTTATAGTCCTTGAAGTACTAGAACAGTTACGGTACTCTCAGGTCCCAACTTTTCAAATTGGTGCGAATCAAAACCAGTTCCTTTTTAATAGGCAAAGAGGGCATAAGGAATTCCTTGTAAGTAAGGTGTCAGTGTCACCATGGACTGCGTGGGGCTAGTGTGACAACTCGTATTAAAATTAATCGCTAACATGTAATTAAAGTCGTTAATTATGATCTTATATAGTTAATGATCATTTTTAAAAATTTCAAATGAACAAATGAACCTCAAATATAATTACTTTACGTGAAAACGAGTCGAATGACTAAAATATAGGTCATATTTTGTATTAAAATAAAATATCATATTGTTAAAATGATATAATATATGAGTAATACGTCTGTTATATATATAATATATGTATTTGTATTTGTATATATTTTAGATATATAAGTGTCAAAGAAAGAAAGAAAGAAAGAAAAAAAAAATGGCCATATACATAAGTAGTGGCAAGAAGAAATAGACATGTGTTCTATAAAAAAAATGTATGAAGGAAAAATGGACAATTGTCCATGTGATGCAAGCTAGGTGACTTAAGCATGATAACTTAAGCCAATTAACATGTGATTTTTGGCCAAAAACTTTGGCTATAAATAGCCCGCACTTGGCCATTCGACCAAGGCAGCAAGAGACAAAAGAGAGAGAGCGAAAGAGAGAGAAAAAAAGAGAAAGAAAGAGAGATGAAGAGAGATAAAAATTTATGAGATTTTGGGATCAAAAATTAAATAAAGAGTTTTACTTTCGATTATTACCCAATTGAAGTGTCTTGTTTGGGGTACTTCGAATTTCTTATCTATTGAAGTTATTAATGATTTTGAGGTACGGGGTATTATCCAATATGCTCATGTCTTTTAAATCTCTTTGCAAAGATTATTCTTTAATTATCTAAAATTTGTATTCCTACTAATTATTCTGATTGATACGAAATTCTCGGTTGACCTGTACGTTGGGCTAAATACTTTGGAATTGATTGGTATATGTACAAAGTGTATTTGGGACAAAATTGGTAAAATGTGATTATGGCCCTGCAAGGTACAATTGTGATTACAATCCTGCGGGGTGCGATTGTGATTACAGTTCTGTGGGGTGTGATTGGTTAGTATGAATATGAACTTATATGCCCAGGTATTACTGGTCATGTCACTAAGATGAACCAAGTACTGCAAGATACAATTGTGATTACAATCCTGCGGGGTGCGATTGTGATTACAGTTCTGTGGGGTGTGATTGGTTAGTATGAATATGAACTTATATGCCCAGGTATTACTGGTCATGTCACTAAGATGAACCAAGTATGAGACTATATTTGAAAGAAGTTGAGCTATGTGACTTATCGAATTGAATTCTTGATTCTTCTATTTATGATTGTCTATTGATTGAATTATTTGGTATTTGATCATTCACTTTTTTTCGTTGAGTATATTGTTTTTTGTCATATTGTATACTTCCCCACTTTTAATATTTTTCAGGATTATCTTAGAGGGAAGGACCAAAGTTGATATTTGAGGAATCAAACATGGATGAGTCTTGATATATTATTTTTTTTAACTTTTATTGGTATTTGTGGTGATATATAATTCTTGAAGGAAGGACTAAAGTGAAGATATGAGAAAGTTTAGATTTATAACTTTGTGGGTTTATTGAGGTGATATATAATTTAAACAGATTTGTTTTTATATTAAAGAAATTACTTTTATTGTTATTTGAAGATTAAAATTGTGATTATAAATTTATTAAGGTAATTAAAGCTCTGTATTCTGAGATTTATTTGTGGTTTATTATGATCGATCAATTTAATCATGTAACGCGTCCCAGAAACCAGGGCGTTACAGCTAGATGCTAGAAATTTCAGCTTAGAAGCCTGGCTCGGCTGAGTTGGCCTGGCCTTCAGGCCAGGATCTCCTGACACAGGCTCTGGCCATGGAACACTATTTCTTTTACTTTTTAGCTTTGATACCTGTTTTTTATCCATGGAAACATGTCAAAAGTTCTGGTAACATCATGTTCAAGCATCAATTCTTTCCGCGAGGAAAACACATCACTAGGATGCTTTCATAACTCTATATGATAAGTCACGGCCAAACCCGATATTTAACTCCCAAAAATCAAGATGGGTTCACTTAACATCATCCATGTTCTTGTGAAGCTAGGAAACTGTATACTTAACCCATAAAAGTTAAGAAATTGTGTAAGTAATCATCAAATAGAACACAATAATCAACTACCCATTAAAAATTACTAGAGGAAACACAATCATCCTAGATGAATTACCCACAACTGTATACTTAACCAATAAAAGTTAGAAATTGTGTAAGTTTTCATCAAATAGAACACAAAAGGAAACACAATCATCAAATACAACAGTAAATCCTAGATGAATTACCCATATTGAAATTTTAAACATACCCATTTACCATAAGTACATATATAAATTTGACTGATCTAAATTTCAATGTTCCAATGAAGTGTTAACAAAGAAAAACATACGATCAAATCAAAAACCCATATGAGTAAAACAGTAAAATATAATGAAGATGGTACCTCAAAAACAAATCTATCCAGAAAAAAGCGAACAGATAGGAAGAAGAGAGAAAAGAAGGGAAGAACTACGAAATCTTCATACTCCGGATACGATTCCTGTTGCAAATCAATGGTATGCACCAATTCAAGCAGAACCATCTTTGAATTCCTCCAACCTAATCTATATGAATGGATATATTCAGAGCTGGTGGATCGAATGCAGAAGCAGCTACATATCTCTCTCTCTCCCTCGCTGGCAGTGAGAACTTGGTTGAGCTCCTAGTAAATGGGACCACTGGACGACACGTCGTCATCAAGTGACCAAACAAGACGGCCTTTTAATTGGGTGTTAGAGTATGTAACAGCCCTTTCGGTTGCTTTATTTCTCGGAAATGCCATTGTGTTTGCTGATGGACATATATGCCCTTTTGATGATGGAATTTAGTTTAAATTAAATATAAATTCAGTATGTCAAATCAAATGTTTCATGAACTTAAGTTGAGGACTTCTAATTAATGTTTAAATACTAAATATTAGGGGTGTTAATTTTTGATCCTACGCGTTAACACGACACGATTCAAACACGAAATTAATGAATTGATGAGAAAAAATAAATCAACACATTTAAACCCAAAAAAATGTGTGATTGGTTTAGGATAAAATCGGATCAACTCGATTTTTACACGATTAAACCATATACTTTAAATGGGTTGACTTAATACCGAGTTAAGTCTGATTTAACTCATTGTAGACTCATTTAATCGTTTATCAAAGTATATAAAAATAAAAAATAAAAACTTAACCATAAACTTATTTGCTATCGTTACTTATTATTTGCTAATATTACTTATTTGTTACTGCTTTTATTTTACTATGGTAATATAGTTTACTTATTATTTAAAAATTTGGAGTTTGGATGAATATTGAATGGTGTATGTAATGGAGATAAATCGATGATTTGTGAAACAAGTTAAAAGGCACATATACATAGGGGTGCAACTCGGGCGCGTTGAACGGGTTGGACAATCAACCCTAGCCCAACTTTAAGTATATAATCTTCAATCTTAATTCTAACCCTAACTCTACCTCGGGTTGGGGAACTCAACCCGAGCACTGTCCGAGTTTAATTCAAGTTGATTTCGGGTTACTTTACTGGTTCAATTCGGGAAGAGACCAAAATAGGCTTGTTGTTCTAAACCTAATACATATATTACATAATATTCACCTAAATTAACAATCAATAACTTCAACCAAGTTTTTAACGAGAGAGACTGAGAGAGGCAAAAAGAACGAGAGAGACAGAGAACGATAGAACAAAAATGAAAAATCAGTGTTAATGATTTATATATATACAATTTTTTTTTAATTTGTCGGGTTTGGGTTGAACTCGGGTTCACGTGGCCTTAACCCAAACCCAACCCAAATTGAATTCGGGTTGGAGTTTTTTGACCCAAGCCCAACCCAAATATTAAAAACCCTTGTCCAAGCCCTAATTTTTTCGGGTTGAAATCGGATTGCCCAACCCAAGTTGCACCCTACATATACAAAGGTGGTAAACCAGTTAAACGGGTTGTGTTATGTGTGTTAACTAGAATACAATTTATATATTAAACAAGTTAAATAAGTTGGGTTCGAATAACACGTTTAATGATTAAATCAGGTTCAAGTTTTGACAACTCGACACAATTAATTAAATGTGTCAGATTAGGGTTTGGGATTTTTCGACATGAACCCAAAACAGACTCGATATGACATGTTTTGACACTCCTACTAAATATTTTCTAATTGGATTTAAGCTGACATGGCCAAATTATTCTCTTAGGTAGGATGAAGTTTCTCAAATATTAACTGCCATTATTACTCGATATTATTCTTTTTAAATTTCAAAATAATTTTATCTTAGTTTTGTATACACTTTTTTGCCACACCAAATAAGGAAATAATTAGATGTTATCTTCATTTTTTCCTTTTCTTTTTTCTTTTTCTAATTTTCATCTCTTTTTTTCCTTCTCCCAACCAAGCACCCAAGATTAGTTGAAAAAGAAAGAATTTGAAAACTTCAATTGGAAGAGGATTAGTTGTTGGTCTAATGGTCACTATAACTCGTTGTTGAACTGTTAAATCGCGTATTCGAATCTCGATAACCCCTTCCTCGTAAACTTTATAATGACCAAAAAAAGAAAAAGAAGACTTCAATCAGAAAACCATCGGGAGGAGATAACTTTCAATTGCCAATTTTAGGAGGATCTTTCCCTCATTGTTAGGTGTCCAATATAGTACACCCACCTCTTCACAAAGAGTAAACTTTCTAGGAAACCTTTTTATTTTTTTTTAAAATTCTTTGTAAGAAACTCAATCATTGCATTTACCCTTAATAATCTACTACGAAAAAAAAGGTGCTCTAACTATTGACAACTCACATAGGAAGTAGCAAGGCAGTTCCTCTTTGGAGTGAAAATACATTTTTTTTTTCACTCCATTTACCCTCAAGAAGATACCACCCAAAATCTGATAAGTAAATGTGGTACTTCTTTATTCAAAGCTTTGACCTCAATGATCCTTTTTTTTTTATCTCCAAAGATATTAATTAATAGTTTATTGTAACCGTGTCATTTCAAATATTATATTTGAATTTGTATCATATGTGTCATTTTTCTATAACTTGTGAAACAAAAATCACAAGATTAAGACTTACTTTTTTTTTTTAAATCATATCCGTCGCATATGGGTTCCCATAAATTGAAGTTCTTATTGATTTATATCTCAGTAAAACCAAACAAAAAATTATTTAATCGTACATTTTATACAATTAGACCAAAATACTTTTTCTTGCAATATAAATTGAACGAGTTTATTTTGTCATGTTAGTTGTTTTTAACACTAACTCAATCTATTCAAATGTTTTGTGTCAAAAAATCAACAAAACTATCTTCTCGTATAAAATTGTGAAATGCATGATACAAACATCAAAGGATTTCCTAATGATTATCTTCACTTGAAACCCATTGTGATGAAGAAAAGAAGAACCACTTGCTAAAAGGAGAACTATGATAAATGGGAAAGGATAATGCAAGTGGCTTCTCTTGTGTGTATCAAATGGATAAATACCCAAGGGAAGAAATAGAAGTGGGGGACAACCACATAACACATAACACAAGAAACTACCAACTACCAACTACCAACTACCAAGAGGATGGACAATCAATGAATGTTCATCCCCTTCACTGCACGAGCCCATACTGGATCCAGGGCATGGGTCCACCCTGAATTCTTTTTAGAAATTATTATATACATATGTAAAGATCATAGTTAGACATGCCAATGAATCGAATTCATATTCAATTAACCATATATTAATTGATATTCTTTATCGATAATTTGAACTCGAATTTGATATCTTATATTTTACGGATTCGGATCTAAATACACATATATTCAATCTGATTATAATCCGATTTGAATTATTTGTATATTTGTATATAAATATTAAAGAATTTAAGTAATTATTTAAAGAATTTAGATATAATTTGTTAAAGTTTAGTTAATTAAGTTATTTAGGTTGGATTTCAAATTATTAATAGATTCAGATATAGACTACCAAAAAAACAACTTTCGGATTATCGGATTATATTCGAATTCAGATTTGGATCAGTTAAAATCCAATCCAAACCTAGTTCTTTAACGGCTTAACAATAGCTAAATGATTATGAACTTCCAGTTCGAATAGATCTAGAAAATTTTTTGACGCATGGGGACTCATTTTGTTTTTTTTTTAAGCTATGAATATTGTAAAGATTAGGTTGCATAACCAAATGAATGAATAATAATCTAATTGTTTATATAGACAAATGTATACTTTTTACCATTAGTAATAAACTTTTCATGTACCGCTCTCAAAATAGGGAAAATTGTCGTGGGGGTCGTTGGCCTTGGGAAAAAATTTTTGGGTTTGTTTTGTAGTTCGGTGCGTAGAACATATAAAACCTGTTATTTTTTGTAATTAAGGTTAAGTTGGTACTATATAACTGCCCTCTATATTCCTTCTTCTCAATAGTGAAATCCCTGTAATTTCGTGAACGTAAACAAATTGCCGAACCACGTAAATACCATCTTGTGTGTGTGATTGTTTTTCTTTGGTGTGTGTTTTCTCTACTGTTGTTCCTCACAGGTTTGAGAATTTCGTGTAAATTTCCTAACATTGTTTGCATACATGCTTAGCTCACCTGTATTTTGCAGAAGAAAAAAAAACCTCCCCTCGTAATAAAACCTGAGAGTTGATGGTGCCACAAGTGCCAGGTGGTCCAAGTTTATTCAGGTTAATCAATGGGAATGGTGTCGTGTTCATCAAGAGATAGGAAACTTTTTCTTTTTGTTGTTAGCATGGAAGAGTCAGAGAGAGAAAAGATAAGTAGAGGGTTTTTGTGGTGAAGAGGATTGTAGGTTATTTCACAAATTGCAAGTTTCTTAAGATTTGCTTTCTTTCTTGGATGATTCTGCTTCTTTTCTTCTTCTCTAGCAGCAACAATGGAGCCCTACAAAGTCTTTGGAGGTGCAGAAGAATGTATCAGCAACGAGTCAGGGTGAACGGCATGGCATGTATTGCCTACCCAATTCATGAAATGAATAATTCCAATACTGATAATAACAACACGGAGAGGAAACAAGATCAGAATGATCAGGATGACAACAATGATGATGAAGATGAATCAATGGCTTCAGATGCCTCATTCTGGTCTGAGTTATCAAAGACTTTTATGTGAAAACATCGAGGGAAGTCTTGCCTGCAACTGCTGAGGTAAGGAACCTCAACAACAGGTGAAGAAATTATTCTGTATGAAGATAAAATCAGAGAGAGAAGCCAGAATACGACACAAATAGTGCTACAAATAGTCAGTTTTGATGCTGAATCAAGAAATATAATCAGCCACGATTACCTAGCTTATGTAAGAACGTGCGTGTGGCACTATATTTGTGTTTGATGTAGCACGCAAACACAACTTCTAAAATGCATAGATGTTTATGCATGAGCATAGCTAAATATAAATCTAACACATGTAATTAATAAGTAGAGATTAGGGGTAGTTACAGTCTGGTGAGTGATCCATAACAAACTATCTATTCCTTTGCAAGGCTCAAGCACGTAGTTCAACTCTAACCTTTCGGCCAGATGGGCCAATGGGCAAACCAAATTGACTGTATGAGCACTTCAAGTAACTTTGTTAGATATGTATTAAGAAACTAGAAAATTATACAAGGCAAACTGGAAAGGACGGTAATCAAAGTTCAAAGTAGATGCAACTGCCAACAGTTTCCATGCGTAAGACAAGTAGACCAGCAGCTTACAGGGTTCATCATCCCAATTACTTAAAGTTGGGTCCGTGATCTTTTTCCCATTCAGCTCCGTCTAAGTACTAGTCAATTAAAACAAAAGGGCATCAAGTCAAACTCACAACCTCAGCCGACAATTTTTCTACCCGTATGCAGTCCCTATTAACGGCAATGCGCTAATCATCACTTGGAATGGGCACAACACTATCTAGTTTCTCTCTGCTTCTGTCTCTCACTCCTCCGGGTGCTCAATTAATGTTTCCCAGCCTCGCAACAGCGGTGTAACTTATACTGGGAAATGTTAGAAGATATGCAGCCAAGACACACTGACTGCAACACACACACACACACACACCTGAATATAATTTTGTCAGCACAGTCCAAAATGGAAACTAGGTTTAATGCAGGACATGGATTTACAAATTAGTAAAGATATAGCTAGCACCATGCATATACTCACAGAATAGCATAAAATATTACGCCTTACATGGCTTGAGAGGCAATTGACCAAAAGGTCATATGATACCTTCCATAAATACTACAACCATGGTAAAATGAAGGGGCCATTAAACAAAACATGAAGCCCTTCCTTTTTTTTTGCAACAACTCTACTGTGCATGTCTTATGATATACGCCATAACCTTCACATGTATCACTTGCTGCCTGATATTTATGCTACATTATTTCCACAGAGAACAACCTACCATGGATGTCAGAGTACTTCCCAACTCTCAAAAACACCAAGCCTGTTTATGCGCCCATTACATACTTGAATTGGTGAGACAATCACTAACCACTACCAGCCTTTTTATCGACTAATTTTCAAGTAGGTATTATTACGTAAACGTGATTCCTTAAGGAGCTCCTAGCACATACAGTGTATCGATGGTGAGGATTCTTGTCCACATCAACAGCCCAGACATGGAAAGATTAAAGGGGTTTACATAAATGACATAAGATTTCCTGTACAGGTTCTCAAGTGATGCAATCCTTAATTTTTACCAAGCCACAAGTCCAATAACAGTCAATACATTGAAAAACCATCAAAGAAGCACAGAATGGAGGAAGCATTGAGAAGAATTCAGTACAAAAACAAGGATAAAGGAAATTTCAAGATTCATATTTCGAAAGGTATAATATTAAGCTCCCATGAGATCAATGGAAACGTACATACTCTTATTATATAGGATGACTCATCTGACTAAATGATCAGATGCTTTTAATATAAGACGAAAAGCCCGCAAGATCTACTATTACACTTCCACAAGCAGCAAAAGTAACATGGAATCCAGACACTTTTCAATAGAGCTAAAAAACATAATTCCAGAGAAATGACGTCACTGGAAGATAGCAGAGTCAACTACATATGTTCCCACATAAAAGGAACATTATTAGGTATGGCAACAATGGTACAGCAGGAGAACAAGATCAAATTTTTGACTGTTTAGCAATCTTGAACCATTCAGTGTGGAAGGACCCCGGTATATCAATCCTCTCATAAGTATGAGCACCAAAATAGTCCCTTTGAGCTTGAACCAAATTAGCAGGTAGGCTTTCCCTCCTGTATGTGTCAAAATAAGCAAGACTAGAAGACATACCTGGAGTGCTAATGCCCGAGTTGATAGCAAGGCAGACAACTCTTCGCCAAGCAGATTGTCGCTCAATCATCTCCTTTGCAAACTCTGGATCCACAAGAAGGTTTGCAAGATCTGGGTTCCTATCATAGGCCTTCTTGATACGGTCCAAAAATATAGCGCGAATAATGCAACCACCTTTCCAAATCCGAGCAAGCTCCCCAAGTTGCAATTCCCATCCCTTTTCAATGCTCTTTGCGCGGATTAAATTCATTCCCTGGGCATAACTACATATTTTGGATGCATAAAGTGCTTTCCTGACATCATCGATCAACTTCTCCTTATTGACAACCTGGTCAGTGAGGATGTCACCAACTCCACTTGATTTGAAGACCTTGGCAGCTTTAACTCTTTCCTCCTTCAATCCACTGAGGAATCTTGAATCCAAAGATGAAGCAATGGTTGGAGCTGCTATAGATAGATCAGCAGCCTGCTGAACCGTCCATTTACCAGTACCCTTCATGCCAGTTTTGTCCAAAACCTTATCTACCAAATACCCATCCCCCTTATCGTCCTTAATTCCAAAAATATCTGCAGTGATCTCAATCAAGAAGCTCAGAAGCTCCCCCTTGTTCCATTCCGAGAACACCTGGTGCAATTCCTCATTAGAGAGGCCCCCAACTGATTTCAGTACATCATAAGCCTCTGCAATCAGTTGCATATCACCATATTCAATCCCATTGTGAACCATCTTAACAAAATTTCCGGAACCTCCTTTCCCAACATATGTAACACAAGGGCCACTGTCAGGAACTTGAGCAGCAACCTTAAGAAGGATATCTTCTATGTATTTGAATGCTTCAAAGGAACCTCCAGGCATCAAAGAAGGTCCATGCCGAGCACCCTCTTCACCACCTGAAACCCCCATTCCAAGATAAAGCAGACCCAACTCAGCCATGGCTTTCTGTCTCCTCTCAGTATTCTCATACCACTCATTACCACCGTCAATAATACAATCACCTTTCTCCAGGTAAACAGAAAGGGTTTTGATGGTCTGATCGACAGGTGCACCCGCCTTAACAAGCATAATTATCACACGAGGTTTCTGGATTGAATTTACAAAGGACTCGGGATCATGGAAACCATACACAGGAAGGTTTCCTTCCAGTTTGGCTCGTTCAATTGTCTCATCAACTTTTGAAGTGGTTCGATTGTAAATAGATATAGGAAATCCTTTATCAGCTATGTTGAGGGCAAGATTTTGCCCCATCACAGCAAGGCCAGCAAGCCCAATTCTCGTTGGGGTAGCCATTTCCTTTTCCTGATCAAAATATCTGTTATCAGTGGTTTCAATGTTTCCAATCTTTATTGTAAGAACCGGAAATAAATGCAAGAAAAATATCCAAAAGAGAGAATCACTTTATAGTTCTAATCTAGATCCAGATCTAGAAAATCAGACACAAAGGTGCACATTCCTAACAGAAGCACAATTGGTGATAGACAAGAATGAAATAAACAGAAAAGAAATCAACTTTAGGATCCAAGCAGAAGATATTACAGAGTATCACAGAATTTTGCTATCAATAGCACATATCCTACCAAAAATCCGATTAAATAGAGACGAAAACAAAGAAGATTGAACCATTCACATACTTAAGAGACAGGATTAACAAACGACATAAACAAGAACACTATGTTATACAGATCAAAGACGAAAAAACAGATAAATTGAATCCAAATAAGCTTTCATTACCTCCTAAAGGTGCAAAAATGAAAGTTTCTGGGAAATAAGTCAAACCCAGAAAAAATTAAGATCTGGGGTTTGAAGAACACAAACAATTTGGTCGCAATTGACAATACACCAACCAGCACAAGCTTTTGGAGTAGAGCTCACAGGCGAGTCTTCAGCGCACCACTTGCACAGGCCAGTCAAATTCGGCTACTTGTTCTTTCTTCAATCATACGGGCCCGCACTTTTGGCCTTTGATTTGCCACCAAATCTTTTGAATATTTGTGAATCTCACCCTACTCTTTTGAAAATGGTGTTTAATACACGAATATTCTTTACTTTTGCGCATTTACTTGTTATTCTTGAAAAGTTAAAATTATGTTATCATGGATGAGCTATTCTCAAATGACTTGAATTTGAATGTTGATGACTTTTTGGAATCAGATCATGTTAGATTTATCTTTCATGAATATTCTAGCCCCAACGTGCATAGTTACCTTTAACCAGATCAAGAAGGACGTGGATGAGCCAGACACACCTTAACTGTTAAATTAAAAATAAAAATAAAAATTATGGTACTAAATTTTGTAGTGTACTAAAATTTACAATTAAGTAAATGTTAACTACAATTTATTTACGACTCAAGAACATCAATTATGACCCGATGGTATAAAATTATGACTCAAAAATTTAGAATTAATCATAAAATATTAAGATCTAAGCTTATTTGATAGTAGTTTTCATTATGGCACTAAAAAATAAGTCAATAAATCATCAGTACCTTAATTTGACCTTATTTCAAAAAGAACCCAACCTCTTTTTACCAACATAACAAAAATAAAATATAATCCGATCGTGGTAGGCTTGTCAACACATCGGATTCCAACTTATTTGAATCAATCCAAATCTAATTTAAAAAATTCAACCCCAAATTTGATCCCATTATTGGATAGATTTTTTGTTCACAGCCCACATTTGAATCCATTAAAAAAAAAAATTGATCCGAAATCCACTATGATATAAATAGTTCAATTAAGCTAAATTTAATTGTACTTCAAATAAATTTCTCGATCCAAATCATTAATTGTTCTTATATACATCTAGTTGCGAGTTGATTATAATTAGATCGAATATAAATATATTCAAATTCAATTCAATAACACAAACGTAATGGATTCAGATACATAAAAATTTCAATTCATGTCTGACTAACTAGATTTATATTCGAATTGAAATTTGGATCATAGGTTTAATTGATAGACTAAATCAATGGCCTTTTGGTCAAATAATATTTCTTATTTTGTGAAGGTTTTTGCCTTTCTTAGGCCAAGTGTTTAAGTTCTTTTGAAGACAATAAATTGTGGTTAGTTGGTAAGACGCACCTCAATTGTTTGGATGAATCGTATCTAAGTATCTGCTGTGGGTTCGAATCTCTATCGAAAAATAAGTTATAATTTAACTAATGTATGAGTTGAAAGACCGGTTCGTGCACCCGAAGTTTGCTCTTAGTTCTACTCGAACTTACGACCCGGAATAATATAAGCACGCCTTTAATCGCCGATGACAAATCGGAGATTTCCCATTACTCCAAAAAAAAAAAAAAACAGATAAGAGCAAAAGGAACAAGGGGTCGAGTTAAATTGCAAGCAGACGGTTATAAATATAAATAAGCCGTTGTAAGAGCCCACCATTGCAAATAAAGTGAACATTCACCTAATTTCGCCACTGTCTAAATTTTCCGACATACTGACAAAATAACTTTATGTATATTATGCTTTGCAGTAACAACTTTAAATAATTTTATATATGACCCGCGTGTAACATGCAACTTTCACCGGAAAGTAGTAGTTGGTTGGGGGGTGGTTAGGTGAAAGAGAATATCCTATGAGTAATATGCTATTTGCACCAAAATTATACATTAAGTTTGTGCATCATCAACCATTGGATTATAGTAGACTAATTAATCTAACGGCTCACAATCATTTGGTGCACGTAACAATATTTCCGGTATGTTATAATATACAAGTTATTATGTCTATGCGAGAAGCCTCAGACACCTGATTCAATACTCAACCACATTTTGGCTCAGTCTAATCATTTTCAAGTCAATCCCAAATTATTGTCTGAATCGATTGATATTGTTACGCGATACTCGCTAAGATGTACATCTCTCATCATATTCAAGTTATCTTTTTTTGTAATATTTGTATATATCTAGGGGTGTTTATGAGCTGGGCCAAGTTAGACCCACGAAATTTTTTGGGATTAGGTCTAAGTAGTGTAAGTCCAAACCCTTATTCAAATGAGTTATTGGTCGGGTTAGACCAAACTTTGAGTAGGAGTAGGCTACTCGTAAGCCTATTAGGCAGGCCTATGGGCAGACCTACTCACGGGCTTTTTTATATACAACTTCATTTAAAAATAATGAATATTTTTATAATTTAATATTTGTGTAAATTATATTTTTGAATCAAAAGTAGAGTCAAAATAGATAAAAATAAAATAATGAATAATTTTCTTTTTGATTATAGGATGAACTATATCCAATAGAATAAATACATCTCAACTAGGTTGACACCTACTCATTTATCTATCATTTGCATTACTTTATCTTTTAAAACTTGTATGCTTAATACATGAAAAAGAAAATAATATATTATTTATAATATCTAAATATTTAAAACTTCAAATTCCGACATTGAGAGACTTATTTTAAAATTTTAAATTTAATGGTCTAAAATTATAATTTTTTTCCAATAAAGGATGGGCAAAATATGTGGGCGGGCTAGGGGTGTAACTTGAGCGAACTTACCCGAGCCTAACCCCAGAAAAAACAGAGCTTGAGTTAGAATTTTTAATACTTAGATTGAACTTGAGCAAAAAAATTTCAACCTGAATTGAATTCGAGCAAGCTTTGGATTGTCGGGTTCAACCCTAATATTAAAATCGGGTTGAACCCGAATATACATAAATATATTTAACTAGAGTTAGTATTTATTTTCACTCTTCGAAGTTCAGACTTTCACTGCACTTCAAGTCTTTACCCCTGTGCCTCCACCACTCTTAGATCCCTCTCTCACTCATCTAGTTTCAAACTCTCAACCTCCATTTCTCACTCGTCACTTCTTTCTTTATCAACCCGAATTAAGTAACTAGAGTCCAACCCAATTCTTAACCCAAAAATAACCAGAATTAAGTAACTCGATCCCGTCCGAATTAAATCCGGGCAGTATGAGTAACTCAGGTTAATGTAGGGTTAGGGCTAGAGTTAGAGTTAGGATTGAAAAATATATACCTAGAGTTGAGTTAGGGTTGAGCTCTCAACCCACCCGAATTACACCCCTAGAGCAGGCTAGGCTTGGCGAGCGGGCGAGGTTGACGGCCGAGCTCTTGGGCAGGGCTCCGGGCCGGGTAATGGGTTTGGAGGCAAACCCAAACCCTCCTTTTAAGAATATCGGGCTCAAGCGGGCCACTATCTGGGTTCGGACCTATTTTTTAGATCGGATAATAAAATTCGTGGATAACCCGACCCATAGACAACCCTATGTATATCTACTGGTACCATTATGTGATGCCATGACCAATGGGTCTCAGTGGCCCCAAGTCGAGTTATCCCTAAAAAGAAGGAACAATGTTCTTGTGAAAATAACCGGTCCATGAGAAAATGTTTATCTTGACAGTCTGCTGTGGAATGTCAACTTAGTAAAGCTAAGCACTAGTCCCAAATCAACCATGTAGAGCATCAAACCAGGGTTACCAGAAAGCGTGAGATCACCTACGAACCGCGATCTGGGTCGCACAACCCCAAACGTGGGTCGTTCGCGACCTGGATCACTACAATCGCTAACCCCAACTGTTTATCCAATCAATTAACAAAACCTAGATCCCCAATATAAACCTTAACCCCAAATCAAACCAAGTCATTGCAAATTACACAAATTAAGACTAAATAGACTAAAACAAAGAGTACGTGACTTACTCGATGGATCTCTGGTTCGACTTCTTCAACTTATATGCTTCGAGTTTCTTTGACTTCTTCAATTTCTTTCCTTTGGCTTCTTTGATTTCTTTCCTTCAGCTTCTTCGACTTCCCGACTTCTCTGGTATCTCTCTCTCTCTCTCTCCCCCCCTCTACTTTGAATTCTTTGTCGACGACTGAGGAGACGAGAAATCGAGAACTTTTATTTCTCTGTCTCTGTTTCTCTCTCTCGCTCTTCTTCGAATTCTTCATCGACAACTGAGACGAGAGGTTCTTGAATAGTCAAACTCCTCTCTCTCTCTCTCTCTCTGTCTCTCTCTCTTAATTGCCACCGACACATGTGATACAAGTTGCCTGGAACTCTGAGAAATAGTTACCTCCTGGCTTTAAAGTTAAAACCTAGGTTGTGTGAAAAGACCAAAAACCCCAGTTATTTTATAAGACTAAAGAATATAATTTGGATAAAAAGGTCAAAAATTTCCAAATTAGGTTAGATACACGTTAACTGCTACAACCCTATGTATATATTTTAATCCCAACTGTAACCTTCTGTACCGCGACTACTGCCTCCACTTTGCTCCTCAATTATGCCTTCAATATATCTCCACTGCGTTGAATCCTTGAATTGTTATTACTTAAAAAAATGATTTTTGGGAAAAGGAGGAGGGATGAACAAGATTCTTCTCAGATTAAATAACAATTCGAAATTAATATTCAGAATTTGGATGATTCTGCTGATGAACAAGAAGTTGAACATATTGAAGTAACGAAAGAAGATAATACTAGGCAACCACAAAAAAATTGCACACAAGAAGATCAATTACAAGTTGATGCAAAATTGAAAGCACTACTCAATGAAGTCAATCTTATTGGTGCAGCTCAAGGAAAAAATCCAGGGGATCAAAAAGTTAGTCATGTAAGCATTACGGCGGTAAATTTACAAGTTCGTATACTCGAATGCATTACCACTTTTTTGGTGCCCCACCCGAAAAAAAAACATAAATTAAACGATGTCAAACTTTGATGAATAATTTGATTTAATATGCAAAATTGCGAGAAAAAGTACAAAAGGCAAAAAAAATAGGAGTTTCTTCGTCCCTAAAAAAATTCTACATTGATGAAGCGACAACCTTCACTAACGACGGGATCAATTGAAGATGCATTCAAAATAATGGATCGAGACATGGTTGACTTGAAGGTCATGAGGGGATTATGTGCTAATGGAATCCCATTCAATGTGTTGAGAAATCCTCAATTCAATGAGATGATTTCAGCTATAAATAGAGGACCTAAATGTTACAAGGTTATTAGCTATGAAAAAGCAAGAACTACATTATTGGATGAGTGCAAAAGAAGTGTTGAAAAGGAGTTGATTCCGGTTAAAGATACATGGTATTCTAATGGGGTATCCATTGTATCAGATGGGGTGGACTAATGTGAAGCATCAACCACTTATTAATATTATTGCTACAAATAATCGGGAAGCTATGTTTTTATATGCTAAGAATTTTTCGGGGATAGAGAAAACAGGTAAAACAATTGCTAATTTTTTGTTGAAAGCCATCGAAGAAGTAGGTCCATTAAATGTCATTCAAATAGTGACCGATAACACAGCAAATTACAAACTTGCGGGGAAAGAGGTGGAAAAGGTACACAAACACATATTTTGGTCTCCTTGTGTTGTTCATACTCTGAATCTAATTTTTAAAGACTTTGCAAAGGAATTTGAGTGGTTTAGAAATACTTATGGAAGGGGAAAGTCTATTGTTAAATATTTTTTGAACCATACACATGCTTTGGCTATGTTTAGCGCTCAGTCTAAATTGGAGCTATTAAAAGTGGTTAACACCAAGTTTGCATCACATTATATTTTGTTGAAGCGACTTGTTGACTGTAGAGAGTCCCTTACAACTACCATTGTTCTCAAGTCATGGAAAGAATTGGTGAAATCTGGAGATGAACACACAAGGAAGTTAGGTGCTTTGGTTACAGAAACCATTATTAGTGAAGAATTTTGGGAGGATGTGGAGAATATCATACATATCACAAAGCCTATATTTTTTCTTATTAAATTTTGCGATGGGGAAGGTCAAAAAATGGGTGAGATTTATGAGAAGATAGACAGTATGCTTAGTGAAATAAAAGATATTATGAGGGGTAGAAAGCACGTTGATAAATTTTCCCAGATTGAAAAAATTGTGCTTGATAGATGAGAGAAAATGAATATTCCTTTGTATTGTCTTGGATTTGCACTAACACCACGATTTTATGATACCTAATATCTTATTAAGCTAGCACCGGGAGGTACAGTTAGGAAAACTCCAAATCAAGATAGGGAGGTCATCATAGGTGTTATGGAAACTTTTGAAAAAATAGCAGAAGATATAGAAGAAGCAAAACAATTGCAAGAACAGTATGCACATTTTCACTCGCGAAAGGGTCTTTATGCTATGACAGCTGCTCAAACAGATGTTGTGACCATGAATGATATTGATTGGTGGTCGACATATGGTTCAAAAACTCCAGAATTAACAGATGTGGCGAAAAAGGTGCTAATTTAAATTACAAGTTATTTATTTCTACTATTAATTATCATTATTAATGTGTCTTATTATTTTTTTATAAAAGGTGTTATCACAACCAATTACAAGTTCTTCAGCTGAAAGAAATTGGTGCACGTATTCATTTATTCACAATGTTAAGAGAAACAGATTAAATTCTACCAGAGCTGACAAATTAGTTTTCATCCATTCAAATATTCGTCTCCAATCACGTTTCAATGAAAGCTACAAAGATGTCCCTTTTAATAAATGATATATAAATTCAGAGCACACATATATAGATGATTCTAGTGTGAGATTGGAGGATTTACGATAGAAATCCTTGGAGGATGACAATACAGATGGTTTTACCATTGCTAGAAACGAAGATTAGAAAACTTCATCCTTACATGCTTCTATGCCCGTCTCTATTGACAAGCCACCTACTAGTTCTAGCAGGCCACCGCTCCGTCATTTCGGATTACATCAGACTCAAATTAGTAATTTTACAAGAAGAGGGAACATTGCGAAAGATAAAGGAAAAATACTTGTCAATTAACTCATGTGCTCCAATTTTTTCTTATTATTAAGTAATTTTTATTTGAGACTTATTAGATGTTTAAGAGTGTTATTTTGATTTATGCTTCAAGTAGAAAGTTATTTAATCGCTTTTTATTTTTTAAATTTTAAGTCTTTAAATTTATATTCTGACTCTTTTTTGATAATAAAATACGCAATCATTACTTTTTTATTCATGATTATTAGTTGATATGTTATTGTTGGTCTTGATTTGCATTTTATAATTTATATAATTTTTTGTAATAATGAAACCGATCCGAATAATAATTTAAAGCGAACAACGACCCAAAATAGTGTACCAGCTAAACCTACCCCCACCGCACTAGGTACCGCAAAAAGTAACGTACCCCGCACTTTTACCCGTACCATGTACCCAACCGACCCACGATCCAGGTAACCCTGCATCAAACACTCCAATAATCTTTGTTTAGCCATAGTAACGATCAAATTTTCGTTTTAAAACAATCGAAACATTTCTATTTTTAGGGAGATCAAAACAAATCAATGATTGAATAAAAATCTTGATATGTCGAATTGTTTCCAAAACATTTTTATTTTTGAAAAAATGAAACAAAACGAAATTTTAATCCTTGAACTAAACACATTAAGTACCTATCCCAGAGTCACAGTCCACCACCAAGAAAGATGTATCATGGAGACTGATGTAGTGGCGACTGGCCCTTCAAAGCCAAGAAACAAAAAAAAAAAAGAAAAAGTAACAGCCCACAACTTTCCAGTGTAATCCTGTAATTGGGAACTTGGCAACTGATGCACCAAACCCTTTGCAAAAGAGAAGAAAATTCAGCATTGACACATCAAGAAGACTTCATCTCCATGAATTTGGTTATTGATTAGTAGAAGAATTCCCACAATCTCTAGCTACATATATTTGATGGGGGTCAGGCAATGCCATCAAAAGTTTCCGTACACAGACCATGCATAAAAACAATAGAAAAAAAATACATGGCATAAGGCAACATCTTTGTCATTAAACTCAAGCCCACACACCTTTTCCCACTAACTCAAGTAGGAACATTCCAATGGACGAGTTGACTGCTCAGCCACTTTCATTTTGTGAGCATCCTGTTTCATGCCGGTTCTAACAGGGATGTGCCAAAACCCATGGTCAAAGAAGGTAAAAGCCTACACACAATGCATGCACTATTGAACCACGCTCCCTCTTTTATTAAACCTCGTAGTGGAATCTGGAATCTTTCCTGCGAACAGGGAGAGTATCATATCTACTAATTAGACCTGAGAAAAAGAAGGCATCTGCCATGAAATTTCAAAGATGAACTGGAACAAGAAAGTAGAAAGCTCAACTGACCCAAGGATATCACTGCTGAATACTCAATATTATCAGCCTCCATCATTTTGCACAGAGCATTTAAAGAAAATCAATTAGCAATTCTCAATAGCTGAAGAAGTTTAAAGGAAACAACTAGTGAAGAGGACATTTGGCGTCTATGTACACTTGGGCCCATTTACTAACTTTTTTAGGATTCTTGTTTTCCTTTTGCAAAAGGGTGAGAAAAACTATAGAAAAAGGCTGAAGACAATAGTTCTCACTCTTCCCAAGCATTTTTTACACTCAAAAAATTGTCCAAATGTAAGTAAAACACCTGGCTCAAGTTATACCTCCCTCTAGGTTGTTCTACAAGTTCATCTAAGACCTCAATATTGCAGGTCCAACATATCAACAGCTATAAAATTTCTACATTGAAGCAAGAAGCAAAAGTCCAATAGCACCTTTGATGTAGAACAAGAAGAAGAACATAGAATAGAAGAAAAATAAAGATTAAGAGATTCACCGAATACTTTCAAGGGTTTGGTCAAGAAACAGACAAATAGTCAACCATGTTATGTAACTCGGTGGCTTTTTTGGTGGTTCACATTCACATGGTGGGAATAGTGCAGTGTGAGAAAGATGGATGGATTTGTCGTGGTCTGTATGTTATGAAGCCTCTTGAAAACTACATGCAATAGACACCCAACATATTTTTTTTCCCTTTTCTTGGGTCCTGACAAAAGTATATGCCACAAAATGGTCACAACAAGGTGGGCGTAGTCATTGCAAGTAATAAAAATATCCTAGGTTATAAAGGGAATGAGCTAGCTGAAGCTTCTAGCAATTTTGACCAAGACCTTGGTGAGGAGACCGAAAGGATGGGGCAGGAATGTACTAACAGGTATACCCGAGGCATGCAGCATAGGGCATGTCAAGGTATGTTTGTGATGGTTATACACCGGAGTGCATGTAATATAGGTCAGGTCAAGTCATGTACATTACCGAGAAATAGCCAAAGCAAATGCATGAAAAAAAGTAGGAAAACTAACTATGAATAGTACCAATCACCTTTATCCCAACCCCAGGAATATCCCAACACTAGTAATAATTGCATGAAGAGACGCTGGAAGTGGAAAGCAATTCAAATGAGAATCCAATGTATCTTAATCCAGGCTATAATTGGGCAATTGAAACAATAAACCCGTATGGCTTTGATAGCCTCCTATACTAAACAGATTTTGATGAAAGAAGAATGTTATTCTTTCATGTCCCAACTCACAAGGGTATTTTCCTAAAAGAAAATCAATTTACAGCTAACTAGAACATAGTTCAATTTACCATTGGGGAAAATCAATCCCATGGATAAAAGTCTAAGCATAAAGACCAACAGGGTTTTCCCAGTCCTAATGTATTGACCTTTCAAATTCTCCTCAAGCCCAAAAGATATGCCCTTTAATTTGCCCCAAGAATCCACAAAATCGATGAACAAATACCCAACAAAAGAATTAGCAGTACAAAACATCGCAACAGAAAAAAAAAAAATTCATCAACACCCAAAGACTAATACACACATAATTTCACTATAATGTCCTTAATTCTGAAACCCATTATGTTAAATCTAAACGTGAAACCCTTTAATTCGTCACAGGAAACCACAAAGAAATCAAACAACAGTCTAAAACATCGTAATGAAAGAAATGCATCAACATCCATCAACTAAAATAGGAATAAAATCGCATCAAGTATCCTTAGTTTGCAAACTAGCTCAGTTAAAATTTGAGAGAGATAAAGAGAGTACCTTCATGCATGGGGTGATCAAGAGACGCGCTTGGCATTGATCAAGAAAGCAGCAACGCAAAGAATTGAAACAGTGAATGCAAAGATCCCCAAAAAAAATATCAAAGACATCCCTGCTACTACCAAGTCTATCAACCTCTGCAAGCTCACTCCCATCACCGTCACCATCTTCTCTCTCCTCTACAAAGTATGTAAAGGCAATAGCTCTTGTAATTTGCACAAGCGCTGGTTAAAACGACAAACGGGATCTCTGTGTATTGCACACAGAGAGAGAGAGAGAGAGAGAGAGAGAGAGGTGGCAGAGTTTTAGGAAACGCCTTGGGAAGGTTGACACATAATCGTCTCCAATTCCTCGTGGCTGATTCGAACGGCCGAAAGAGAGGCAAGGCGTGTATTGGGACTTTCATTATATGGGTATACCGGGTGGACTTAAAGAGGTGTAAACTGGGCTCGGGCGACATAGGTCCAACAGATCCATTTAAAAGTGGGCCTCAAGACGATACGACACAAAACAAGTCGTGTTGGTCCGACCCATGTTGTGCTGAGCCTGCCCTTTCTATCTATTACTGCTTCCACAGTATGGACACAGGTGCGACAAAAAGCACATGCATGACACGACCCACGCAAAAGAAATGATGTTGGCCTTATTTACTTCAATGTAGGTAACAAATGAAAATTGATATCGGACATCTCTCACCGTTAAACTAAAAAAGAAAAAAAAAATATTGGTATCCGACCTCGACAGTTAGACTAAATCAGACCTCTACAAAATTGTGATTTTCAGGCTGGTACACATACAAAAAGTTATACTAAAAATACATTACTTGATACAAAATATAACTGATGGGATGAATTTACTAAAAATTTCCCATCCATTTCTATTTATAAATGCTAGTCCCATGGTGCCATAGCATTCCAAGCTCAAAACAAAGTTAAGCTAAGCTCCCACCATATCTTGTGACACTTTCTCTTCATTCACTAAGATCTTCTTTCCAACACAATTTGTAGTTGATATGCTTGTATCTTTGACTGGAAGTCATCAATTTGTTGCGAAAGGAACTGAATCGTAGATAGCTCGATCAGCAGCACGAATGTAGTAGAGTCTCATCGCTTTATAGCTCACGCATTATTGCGTCAGTGCTTGAAGAATTGTCGAACCAAAGTCTGATGAGCCAACCTGGTGGAGCTATGTGACTTCATCTGCAAATTAAAAACCAATCGGTCCAATACCTACACAACAAAAGGAATTGGTATTTGTGATACTAGAGAAATATATGTGAGTCAAAAGGGATACAACTTAAGTGTAAAACCTCTGTATATATAGTCAATGAAAATTACAATAAAGGTAAAAAGATAAAAAGGGAAAACTATAATAAACTAAACTGCAATATTTCCAACCCTCTCCCTCAAGCTAGGCACAAAAATGTCAACTAAGTCAAGATTGACAACGGAGTTCCGAAGAATGGATAGAGTGACAGGTTTGGTGAAAATATCTGCAACCTGATCACTTGTCCCACAAACGATGGAGTGACAATACCACTGCTAACCTTCTCCCGAAGAAAGTGAACATCAATATTTATTTGTTTCGTCCTCTCATGTAATACAGAGTCAGAAGCGAGCTGAATAGCAGATCGATTATCACAATATAATGAAGATGAAAAAGTCACTGAAAATCCCAACTCGCCAAGAATTGATCGTAGCTAGATAATCTCACATGTGCCAAGTGTCAGTGCTCGATACTCTGTCTCTGCTGACGAGCGGGAGACAACTGATTGCTTCTTGCTCTTCCAAGAGATAAGATGAGTTCGTCGAAAAGCATAGAAGCCCGTAGTAGATCGACCATCACACGCTCCCCCATAATTTGAATTTGAATAACAAGTTAGAGAACTAGTCTGAGATCCTGATGCATAGAACAACCCGAGTCTAGGACAAAACTTGAGATACTGAAGAATACGATAAACTATATCAAAATGAGATTGACATGGTCTATGCATGAACTGACTAACTTGGCTGACAGCGAATGAAATGTCTGGCCTAGTGTTGGCTAGATAGAAAAGTCTACCCACCAACCTCTGATAAATAGTCAGATCTCTCAACTCCTCACCTTCAGCAGTAAGCTTCAGGTTTGGAATCATGGGTGATGATGCTAGTTTGCACCCCAGCATCCCAGTGTCTGAGAGAAGATCCAGAACATACTTTCTCTAAAAAAAAATAATACTCCAGCTACTACGGGCAACCTCAATCTCAAGAAAGTATCGCAAAAATTCAAGGTCCTTCACATCGAAGACCTTCCCAAGGTTTACCTTGACCTGCGTAGTCCTAGAAATATCATCTTCAGTAATAATAATATCATCAACATATACCAAAAGTATAACACATCGTCTAGAAGTATTCCGTCGAATGAAACAGGTATGATCAGAATGACATCTGGTGAACCCTAAACGTACAACTACATCACTAAAGTGAGAGAACCAGACTCGTGGCGACTGTTTCAGTCCATAAAGAGACTTACGCAGTCGACATATCTTTCCAGCATACTCCCCCTCACCACGAAAGCCCGGTGGTGCATCTATATAAATAATCTCGTCCAGATCACCGTGAAAAAATGCATTCTTCACATCCAACTGATGAAGAGGCTAAGAGTACTTCGCAGCTAGAGAAATAATCAATCAAACAGTAGTCAATTTTACCACAGGGACAAATGTAGCACCAAAATCACGACCTAGTACCTGAGTAAAGTCCTTCGCCACAACCCTAGCCTTGTGATAATCAATAGTACTATTCGCAAGAAACTTCAGGGTGTAAACCCAGCGACGGCCAACAAGCTTCACCCCTGAAGGTAAAGAGACAAGATCCCACGTATGATTACGTTGAAGAGCGTCCATCTCCGTCTACATGACAAGAACCCACTGAGGCTCCCTCATAGCCTTTGAAACAGAGCGAGGAACCAGCGTATCTGATAAGACCATACTATAAGCTCGAAATATAAGAAACAAATCACCATAAGACACATAAGTAGAGATCGGATATAAAATCCTAGAAGTCTAACCATAACGAACAACTGGACGACGATCACGTTGCGGGTAACGACGTCCTAAATCATCATCTTCCACTGACAATGTCTCATTAGAGAAAGTAACTAACTCAGTACCTGCAATCTCATTAGTACTAACAACATGTGCATCAATATACTCAATGAACTGAGAAGTATTAACTGCATCGCCTGAGGTAGAAGGGACATCAGTAGGGGGATAAGAGTGAGGGCGACGAATATAAACCTACAAAGGAAGAGAGACTGGTGACTCTGTACGGACAAGGACGAGTGGCTCTGGAGAAGGAGAGACTGATGATTCTATACTGATAGTGACCAATGACTCTGGCTCCTGTGGTAACAATAAATTAAATGAAGTATCATCAACTAGAGGGGCAGACACAGGACTAGAAGAAAAATAAGGAATGTGCTCAAGAAATGTAACATCTAGATTGTGATACATACGACGCTTGATAGGATCATAACACTGATACCCCTTAGACTGATGACAATACCCCACAAAGATACAACGAATTACTTTATCATCAAGTTTATAGTGAGTAGGAGATCGATCCTAAACAAAACATGTGTAGCCAAAAACACGAGGGGAGACCAAAAAAAGTGTCCGCTCAGGGAATAAGACCTGTAAGGGAGCCCTATGCTGAAGAACACGACTCGGTGTACGATTACACAGAAAGGTAGAAATTAAAACAGCAAAATGCCAATAAGACTTTGATACCCCCACACCTCTAAGCATACAACGTACCATCCTTATTAAACTCCTATTTTTCCTTTCAGCAACTCCATTTTACTCAGGAGTATATGGACAAGTGAGCTGCTGAAGGATACCCTGAGAGGAAAGGTGAGACAAGGCATCAGACACATATTCTTTGGCATTATCCGAATGAAGAGCACGAATAATGACATCAAATTGTGTCTTAATCATCTGGAGAAACTATGTGATGACAGGGAATACATCAGACTTCCTATGCAAAAGGTAGACCCAAGTACAACGGGTATGATCATCTATAAATGTCACATAGTATCGAGCACCTGACAAAGTAGTAATAGGAGAGGGTCCCCAAATATCAGAGTGTATTAAGTCAAATGGCTTGGGTGACTGGTGCATGCGAGGAATATAACTGGTCCGAACATGTTTTGATAGGGAACATATAACACAGTCAAGTTCACCACCAACACAAGTATTGCTCAAAGTAGGAAATAACATACATAAATATTTAAAATTTGTATGTCCAAAACGATCATGTCACAACTGAACAATTTGTGATGAAAAATCATATAACGATAAGTACTAGACAAGATACTAGCATGCAAGCTAGGTACAGATAAATACAAAGTAGGTGTAGGTGATGGAACTGGAGGAATTGGTGAAACTGGAGGTGGATTGCCTAAATAATATAATTTATCTCTCTTATATCCCCTAATAATAATCCTCTTGGTACTCAGGTCTTACAAATAACACAAATCAGATAAAAACATAACCGCACAGTGAAAAATTCTGGCTAACTGATAAACGGATAATAGATTCACGGCTAGTTTTGGCGCATGAAAAATCGAATATAATGTAAAGCCATCTGGGAGGTGGATTGTACCCCTACTAACAAAAGGAGCATGTGTCTCATCTGTTAGCTGAACCTGTGTATGTAACTGCTCGACAAAAATGGTGAAATGATGGGCCTCACCTATTATATGACCATTTGCACCCGAGTCCAGCATCTAAAAGGGAGACGGACTAGCGCAAGCATGAAATACACGAGATATATCTGTAGTGGTGACAGTAACAGTAGTCGGACCCTGAGAAGTCAAGGCGGTCATAAATATATCCAATCGAAAAATGATAGCATCCATATCACTCTGTCAAGGAGGAAAAGTAGCAGCAGGAACAACGACAGTAGGTGATGGTACCTCGAGAACAGCAGCAATACGGCTGCGAGGAGGCAGCTTAAGCTTCGGATAGAGCTTCCAGCAAGTAGCCCATAGATGGCTTGGTCGGCCATAATAATCACACCGACAAGAACCAGAAGGTACATTTCAGGTGGAAGTACTAACAACAGAGGTCTCAAGAGTAGAGGTCTCAAATCCCTCAATAATAGCCATAACAATAACAATATGTGGGCATCTGTGACAGGAAAAAGTTCTTAAGATAAATAGAGGAACAAAATAAGGGAGAATAATATACCTCCAGTCGAATAATAACGACAGATAAAAAAGGTCCAAAAAACTCCCAAGTAATCAGATCATGGTGCCCAGAAATTTAATAAATATAAATAATTGATCTACTGCATCAAAAGCAGATCATCGAAAAAGAGAAATCAACTCCTCTTAAAAGAAAAAGAGAAATCAACTCCTCTTGAAAGATCATACGGTCCCAAATAATCAGACTCACGAAGGCATAACTCGAAGTTGTGACGAAGAACGCGATTCAATAGTGGGCTGGTCCAATGGAGTAGGTACTGTGTTGGGTTTGGGATTGGACTGGTTTGGGACTGCACTGGATTGGACTGAGTTTGGTACTGGACTGGGTTTGGGACTGGACTGGATTGATTTTTTTTTTCCCTGGTCTAAGTTTATTTGTTATCTTGGATTGCTTTGGCAGACTGGTTTGTCGGTGAAGATAGTGGACTGGTTTGATTTTGGGCAGACTGGTCAAGGTAGTGGACTGGTTTGTGGTTTTGTTTTTGGGCAGTCGGAGAAGTTTCGGTTTCTGTGGGCTGTTGCTTGCTGTTTCGGTTTCGATTTCGATGGGATGCTGGTTGCGGTAGGCTGTCGGTGAGGTTGTTGTTGGTTGTTTTGCTTTTGCAATCCTACGGTGGTTGTTTGGACTGGTCGGTATGGGCCGTCGCTGGCTTTCGGTGGTTGTTTTTGGCTAGGCAGTCGATGACTTGCGCTGGTTGCGATGATTGGTTTTGGTTTGCTGAGTTGTCGGTGAAGCTGTGATGGGGGCTGGGCTGTGATTGCTGTAGTTGCGCAGTGGTGGTGGTGTGGCTGGTTTGTGGTGGCGGTAGGTTGCAGCGAGGTATAGAAGGCTAGGGTTATGGTTAGGGTTAGGGTTTTTGCTCTGATACCAACTAGAGAAATATATGTGAGTCAAAAGGGATACAACCTAGGTGTAGATCTCCCGTATATATAACCAATGAAAATTACAATAAGGGTAAAAAGTAAAGAGGAAAAACTATAATAAACCCTAATAAACTAAACTGCAATATTTTCAACAGTGATACATCAGAAAGATATAAAAGCTCCCATACATACCTGAGGTTGGCATTGGTCTCCTCATTTTAATCGGCGCAGGTTCTTTGATGTCAATAACAACTGCATTAGATGTCAAGAAAGTTTTGGCAACGGATGCTGCGTGCTCCAAACAACATCTAACTACCTGCTTTCAGACGTTAGTTGAAATTATGAATTTTTCGACAGTTGTAGACAACATATAGCTAAAAGAAGTCTAATATGTTCTTTTGGGTGTCAAGTACATAGCATCTTTTAGCAAAATACATAGTCCTCAGAGACAGTTCTGTCTCTGAGAGCATTCCTCTAACATTGAGTGTATCATTTTTGAGCCACTGCATTCTGAAATGGTAAGTAAACTTTAGCTTACCATGCAGGCCTGATCTAGCTGATATTTCTTTTTCTTTCTCTCTTCTATTTTTTTCCTTTTACATTTCCTTTTTTCGTGGCTCTCAACTATTTTCACCAACTCAAATTGGTTTTCATACTGATTTATTTGGTGTTTCTGTGAGATACTGGCCTATAAACCTTTCAACATCATACTGAATTCTGTTGGTGCGGCATTATTTTGGGAAACTGCACGAATTCAACACCTAGATAATGTCACCAGGGTTGTGAATGAAGTGCATCTGCCTAAGCCATGTCTCTTGGTACCTTTGTTGGATCCAGAACTCCAGCAGCCATCAAATCCTCATATTGGTCTTTTGCAGCATTGTATCCATACTTCATGTCATCAATAGAAAGAACCTGCATGGGTGACAGGTTTTAACAAGGTCATATTTTTTTGGATTTTCGGAGTCCTTAATAGTTTGCACTATCAATTAACAACTGAAAGTTTTTGGATCTCAAACTATGTTGGGTAAAAAATAATGCAAAACCTGTAGAGACCTTCTCTATAACAACATTCCCATTAACACCAGCATTTTTGGCAATCCGTCTAGCAGGATAGGCCAAAGCTCTTTTGAAGATGTCAGCTCCAATCTGCTTTGCCAATTGTAGACAAAAAAAATCACAATCATAACAAACTACACTACTATTTCTGCAGACAAGGGTAATACACTAACATAAGAAAATTACAACTTAGCACAATTGTTAACCACCGATTTCTTTTTTCATTTTTTTCGGATTCCTAACTATATCACATTTTGCAACAATCAAACGAGAGAGCTAAACAAAAATATAAAAGAGAAAGAAACAAAATAGAACGGAGAAAGAGAGTTAGTTACCTTTTGCTCTTCATTGTCCAGAAGTTGTTTACTACTGTCCACCTTTAAAGCAAGCCTCAATAGACAACAACCGCCACCAACTACAACTCCCTCCTCAATAGCAGCCTATAATATAAGAATGCATAAGCTTGCATCTACTAACTGACTATTTAGCGATTGACGTATCCAAAGAGAAATATGCTACCTTCGTCGCATTCAAAGCATCTTCAGTCCTTAGTTGTTTATCCTTTAATTCAACTTGTGTTTGTGCTCCTACCTTTTATTCAATTTGAAAGAAATTAACGCATTAATTCATACAGAAATTATTCTTCAAAATCTACATGACCAAATATATCCAATCCAATAAATTTCAGATTACCTGCAGAATGGCAATTCCCCCTGACAACCTTGCTATTCTTTCGTTCAGTATTTTCTTTTGAAATTTTTCTTCAGTATTCTGCAAAATAAGGCGTAGTTGTGTCAGTATTCTCATAAAATGCTAAAATGTCCTAAAAGCAATGCAATGGCTATAGAATCAAGAAAAAGCATATGGGCATATCTTAAGAAAAATACGTAGTAATCTGTTTTTTTTAGCATTTTGAATATATAATTGATTGAGCCATTGACAGGAGTTCAATGGGTTTAGGGTTTAGGTCATAACTATTTTTGTTCTGTTAATTTGGTTAAAATTGTTACCGTCTTTTTCATTGCATGGGTGGTCACAGGACCAGCAAAAACGACGTATCTTGCCGTGGGTTGTCCAAAATCAGGTGATGTGCGTCTATGCCCTAGTTGTGCTTAATAAATAAAGGAGATTGAGTTTGATTGGATGATGAAAAAATGGGAAAATTTTCGACCAAATATTTGAGTGTAAAAAAATTGGTGTCTAGACCTAGGGGTAATTTGTTTCCGTAATGGAAAGGATGTCTACATTTACTTCCCAAGGCCTACCAAATGAAAAATTAGTAGACTCAGGTGACAGCCCTGTAATTATTGACAATTCATAATTGGAAACCAAGGAAAATCAAACTCCATAGATACTGTTACACAAAACATACGATCCACCCTAACAAGCCTTTGTTTGAGAAACAAAAATTCTCCATAAACAACTCTATATAAGATTTGCGATTCACCTCAACAAGCCTCTGAATCTGAGAAACCCTCTTCTGAACAGCAGCTTGATTGCTACCATCAGTAACTATTAATGTAGAATCCTTAGTTATCACCACCTTAGTAGCAGTCCCTAAAACCTCCTTGTTCGCCTTTTCAAGGGTCAATCCCATGTCATCTCTGATTACAGTCCCTGAAAACACATTACAGGCTTGGCATCAAATAAGGGGGATCATCTTTCTTTGGCCATGCAGAATCTACTTTTTGGATTTTTCTACATATGACTTGGTTTCGTAGTATGACAGTTTCTTAGCACAAAAGATTACTAGATTTAGTGATGCCAAGTTTTGAAATAAAACAGAATTTAACAGCTGTCACATAAACAAGAACTGAGACTAGGGCCTTTCATGCTCAACTAACATAAGTCATAGTATCTTACCTGTTCACAAGCTCATTTTTGGAAGGTTTCATGGCGAGATTGATCTACAAATATCGACAAGAAAGAAGCTAAGAACTTTACATTATAATACTTAATTTACTACCTCCAGTTAAGATAGCAATGTCATCTAAGCAGTGGCTCTTGCGCTCACCAAAGGCAGGAGCTTTAATAGCCGCAGCTTTCAGCACACCCCTGAGTTTGTTCCTAATTACTGGAGCCAGAGCTTCTTGCTCAATGCCCTCTGCAACTATCACAATTGGATACTTCTCCTTAACAGCATTGTCCAATATTTTAAACATCTCCTTTGGGTTCGTGATTTTTTTGTTTACCAAAAGCAACTGCAACCAAAAAATTCACACCCCCTAATTACTCAAAACAAAAACATTGAATGCTAAAACAACTATAATACCCCTACCTTGCAGTTGTGAAACTCCACTGTCTTCTTTTGTTGATCCGTAACAAAATAAGGAGATAAATATCCACGATCAAAATGCATCCCTTCTACAATCTGTAGAGTATTCTCAGAACAGTTCCCTTTTTCAACTGTGACTATACCCATCCTTCCTACTTGTTGAAGAGCATCAGCTATCATGTTTCCTACTTCATAGTCATTTCCTGCACTTACGGCAGCAACATCTGCAAGCTCATGATCCTGAACCTGAAATCTCAGAGAAATTGGAACATCCTCTCCAATAAGTAAGACATAATCCTCAACTTATGCTTAGAACCAAAAATTGGTATGTATATATGCCTTTCCTTTTGATATCTTATTCTTGGTAAGGCTTTTAACCAATTATTTTCCCAGGAAGATGAAAGAAGATAATGGTCCTTTCTACCTCTCTGCTCATCAATTTGAGTTCAGAAACAAGGGCTTTTGCAGTTTTCTCAATCCCACGTGAGATCTGAATAGGATTCATGCCCGCTGCAATAACCTAGAGGAAGGTAAAATCGAATAGAAAAAGTAACTGAAAGCATCCACTGAATAAAAAAATTGTAATCAAATGCTGTTCTAAGCAATGACATAAGATTTTATATTAGCATGGTTTCCTCATCACATTGAAGGAAATAGGTACCTTTACACCCTCAGCAATCAAACCCTGAGCTAGCACGACAGATGTAGTGCAACCATCACCAGCAATATCATTGGTTTTTGCACCAGCTTGCCTCACCAATTTCACTCCGACGTTCTCCAATGAGTCCTCTAACTCAATCTATATGGACTAATATAAGTTATTTACGACAAAAAACCCAGTGCAAGTCTTTCACAACATAAAGGAGCCACTCACTCTCTTAATGATAACTATCCCCATCCCTGTATCACAGAACTTGATGATCCATTCCAATTCAACCATCAATGGTCTAAGCTAGAATAAGATGTCTATTCATTTAATAGAATAAATTATATGAAGAAAGTGAAAAACTATCCTTCTTTATTTAAATAATCGTCAATAAAGTTTTAGGAAAAGAAATTCCAAACAGGTATTAATAAACTCGACTGAGCTCAGTTTACATTTTGAGAAGACACAGATGGATCAGCGTGAACTGTGAAGAGACATAATGGTCTATGACTTATACCACAACAAACGATTCTGTTGTGATTGAATGGTCATCACACAGAACTAGTCTGAAAGTTTAAATGTTCGGCTTACAAACTATGTACAACTTAGTCCTAAATAGTTCTTGCATTTCCTAATATATATTTTTTTTATTTTTCTGTACCATCTGATGACTTTAACAGATCACCAATACAAAGCTTAGATATGGTCAGTGGTCTCCAAATTGTTTTCGTTTGATTCAAAATTTGTTCCATTATATGATGCTATCACTATTTTGTTCCTGAAACTTATGCATGATTTGGTGCCTCGAAAACTTACTAGACATGAACTAGGAGTTCAAATTGAGGTAGCCATGTTGCAATGTATCATATAAGAAACTATAGAAGTCTCAAGTTGTGCCCAAGAAGACAAGGAAACTTTAGAAGCATTGTTCATCAAGCAGGAGACCAATCACTATAGGCACCATATCAACAACCCGATGAAACCAACCCCTTCACCAGTGAGGACTGTGGAGGGGTGTTCTATCTTGGTCTGGGGCTGATGGCAACCAACCCAGATGGCTCTAATGCAGATCACAATTGATCATCTATTCCTAGAAATTTAAGATAAGTGCAGTAAGAGTAGGTTTACATTTCATCTCTCATACCCCACAACAAAGCTTTGAGCAGTCGAATAGGGTAAAATAACCCTGAAAAATGGCAGAGATTTTGCCAATCTGAATAAAATTTGAGCAGTGTTTTTCATCAATAAAACTCAAATAGCCCTCTCCCCGGTATACCAGCAACCTATTCACCTTAACAAAATGAAAAATGAAAGAAAAAGTTGGTAGGGTATAAATGTTTTTCACCTCTTTTAGAACAGTTTCACCATCATTAACAATCTTGGGAGGTCCATATTTGTTTTGCAACACAACATTCCTTCCTTTAGGACCCAATGTCACCCCAACTAGCTCAGCCACCAGGTTCACCCCTGCCTGCACCAAAACAAACAAAATTAGTTACTAATAAAGTTAACCTCAAGCAATACATATATGCTATTGAGGAAGTTAACAGTAAATGTTGTGTTTAAATGTGACCAGAAGCTTCTTTGTAGCTGAGCCATCATGGTTGAAGTAAAGTTCTTTAGCCACGGCTCTAGTTTTGAATATAGAACTTGAAGGTCTATTTGTAAGAATGGACTGTGTTGGACTCATTAAAGAAACTGCAGGTAAAGGGCGGAGAGAACACGAACACGCCATGGTTTGTGTCAGACAGTTTCAAATATCTGTTTGGTAGTCTTTTTGGGACAGCATAAAGGGTACTTTGACAAATGGGTTTGAAGCCTTGAAGGATAAGAGAGAGAGAGAGAGAGAGAGAGAGCTAACAAAAAATATCTGTTAGAAACTACTCCTTGGCGCTACATCTTCCAGGAGCATAGATGTGTTGCGAATAATAATTCCGGTCTTTATTTCATTCTTAAATATTTTAAGATTTTTTATTTTGTACATTCAATAATCAAATATTTTATTAAAAATATTATAATATAATCTTTCTGTTAACTTCATTAAACCAAAAAAGTCCCGATTGTGTATAAATGTGACAACGTAAACTTTTGAGTCATAATTGAATCTCACCTTTAAGTTTACCTGCCAAACACTTTGTGAAAGAAATTGAAGGAACAAATAAAAAGAAAGTATGGAAAACTAGAAATTACCAAGTGACAAGGCAATTAGGGTTAAATTGTGATAATAAAAGTCCAGCCTTCTAATAGTTCAGAGGCTTGGAAATTGTGAGGTGAGGTGGTTAGTAAGGTGGTTAATTTATGATGTTGTCCCACATTGTCTAGTTAAAGAAAATCATTGTGTTGTTGATACGTAATTGTTTGTCCCACATGGTTGACTCAAAAAATGGCCCACAAAGAGTCATCCAACTCGTTGGGGATTTATCATTCATTTTTAGAAGTTTAAGGTACTTTTATCTTTGCTATTTTGTTTTTTTGGCAAGGAGGTTCAAACCCGCAGCAAAACGATGACCACTAAACTGCCCGTATTTTGAAAACTAGAAAAACTGATAGAATCATTCAGATAAATGTGGATACTTGAGCTTAAAACTTTTTTTTTTTTTTTGTTTCAACGACCGGGAGTGTTTGAATTTTTTTTGTTTCAACGGCCAGAAGTGTTCGAACTAACTTACGTATACCTCGACAAATGTAAGGGTTCGATGCCCACAGTTTACAATGCAAAAGCGAAAAAAAAAACCAAAAAACATACATATACGGAATAAGGATTCACAAATCTCATCAGAATTCAATTGACTTATTCAAGTACATTACTAGCAATAAACTGTTGAACGGGGGATAGATCTCTTCCAATGCAGGATGTCTCTAGTAATTTGAGTTGCCCAACACCTTCTGTTAGTTGTCAAAAGCAGCAGCTGTAAGAGGATGTATTTCAACAGAAGAAGCCTCTAGTGTGGTGAGTCACTCGTTGGGATGCCTCTAGTGTTATGAGTTGCACGACACCTGGAGTGTGAATCCGTTAATGTCAAAAGCATCAATCTCAGTCTTTGTAATGACACCCTGGTCAAATAAGAAGTGAGAAATTCAAGTTCAACCAATTACAAGTTTTGGGAAGATGCTCGCTCAATGCTAGGCGTGTGGGTCTGTGTGCACACATGTGAGAGATGTAAGAGTGTCTGTACGTGTGTCTGTGTTGCAGAGAAAGAGAGAGACCTTTTCTGTAATGATACCACTGATGATAGACTAGATGCTTCCTAATGTGTTTATTTTGGAGAATTCTATTGCGTAAAATAGTCTTTAGTTCTTTTCATTTATTACTCTTGTTGGTTTTTTGCCAATAAATGATTCCGGTTTCAATATCTTGGTAGATTTATGTACTAGAGCCTTAGCAGTAGTTTACTGAAGTTTTGTTGTTTGTCATCGAAATTTAGTTGCAGTTAGACATGAATTTTGTTCAGTGCGACGTCAAGAACTTCAGATGGAGAGGTAAGTCTCTGTCCTCTCTCCAAAATGAGGTGGTTACCAAACTTTGTTTTCTAGAAGTCAATGTTTCTGTAAAATCCGTTCAAAATAAAGAAAAAAGAAATCCACTAATGCTAGAACAAAGTTCCGCTGTTCAAATTTGGTCGGGCAGGGTATTGTGGATTTTCTTCACATAAGAGTATGCCACATTCTTCTCCAGGGTAAAGCATGATCTCTTGTATGTTCTGTGTTGGATACTAGGAAGAATGAGATGGAAATAAGTTTTTATCAATAACACTGCTGCAATTGACGCTGACACGACCATGATAGTTGAGAGGTCTAGGATTTAGGGAAGGGCTAGACTGGCTTGGAAAATGGTACATATTTTGTTAAATGAAGTTTGTCCATCAAGTTTCTCTTTAGTCTAGCTGAACTCTTTAATATTACCAGCCTTTTGAATTAACTTCTCTTCTACCAAAGTAGTGATCTTGGCTTCGGTGTAGATAAAATTGTTGATACTGTCATAGTGAATCCTCCATTTGGAGCACGGAACAAAGGAGCTGACATGGATTTCCTCTCTGTGGCTTTGAAGGTAAGGCATGGCCCACATCTAGTGTGTCGAATGGTTGTGGGTAGTGATATCTGTGCTAATTCTGAATTGATTATCACTTCAGGTTGCTTCTCAAGCAGTCTATTCCTTGCTTAAGACAACAAGGGATGTAAGTCAATTTTCTTTGAAAATTGTCATAGTTAAATTTAACTGGATTAGTAAATTGTTTTAGTCATAGTAGATTGTTTGGATCTGCAATTCATATCACAATGGCAAAATGTGGCTGTCTACAGATGGTAAATTGATTTGCCTAAGTTACTCATCGTGCAGAAATGCTCCATCATAGCATAGTAAATGTTGTTGTATTCTATTATCTTACTACAATTACATTTTGTTGCAGCAGGCCATTCAGTGTCAGTGTGATTAGTTTATCAATGCCCAAATATTTCGTCCACATCTTCTCCCATACATATATGCATGCCTACCTTTTTTATCCCACGGTTTGTGAGTTTTTCAGTCACAGAACTACATGAACAGAGCATCAAACCCATAGAGTGGAATTTTTAAGTGGTTGACGTACAGATGTAATATATACTTTTTCGGTAAGGGGCTCCTTCTAAGATGCCCCTTAATGGCGATATGGACTATCGTGAAAACGTCATCAGATAGCATAGAATCATATGGTATGTTAGCACTTAGCAGTATTTATTTTGAAAATGTAAACGTCTATTAGATATATGTTTAGCAAAAATAAAGAATATGGTTACCTATGCATACATTCTTATTGTATTTATTGATCTCACTCCGTCATACACGTGCCTCTTTATTCCTAAATCCTAATGGCTTGAGCTTCATGTTTAAGGAGCTGCAAGAGTTTGCTTCACGTGATGTTGGCTTTCTTTACTTCTCTTTCTTTTTAATGCAAGGCACAGAGTTAGCCTTTTTTAATCATCTGGTAGTGTTGCTTCGAGTGATTGTTTGTGAGGTTGTACTAGGAGTGCGGTGATTTGATCATTCTTTATATGATGATTACAGCATGTGAAAAGGACAGCCTTGCGGGATTACAATGCTAGCAGTGCTGAAATTTTATGTGAGGTATATTATATTCAGTTAATTTGTTCATTTGCAAGTATTTTGTGTTTATCCCTATATTATTGACAATATATCATGTTGATGGAACATTATTTGTCAAGTGGGTCCACCAGCCCCACTCCTAAAGAAGAAGTATAAATGACTCAACAAATATCGCAAGTGGGGCACACTATAATAAATACATGGCAGGTAATGAGTATTTTGACAGATTAGTTCATGTCTATTTTCATAGTACATAATGGTAAATGATTCTAATTATCTCCATATATATGAGTAAAAACCCAAGAAAGAGGAGGCATCAAGTATGAGCACCTTGGCTCCATACTTCACACACACACCTATATTATTTTTCTTGTTTATACACTCGCCGGTTCCAGCTATTGACCACAATACTGACTTAAGCATGGAAGAGCATCCTCTGGCTCAACGCCGGGGGTTCCTCTAACCTTTTTCTGCCTTGTAGTTCATGGACCGGATGGATTCGAAGATTAGGGACGCACTTTTAGCATTCTAGTGATTGTGCGAATTTTTGCCCGCACACACGTATACACTTTATTCTTTTATTTTACATGGTAAATGGATAGCATTTGAGTTAGTTTGATTTGGTTGTGCACATCTTCATGAATTTAGCTTTAAGTATGTAGGGCTGTGATCTGGTTCCTTATTCCTCGATGCGTTTTCCTAGCTTCGATTTGATGTGCCACGCCTCTACAAATTTCACAAGAGAAAGCAGGTTGATATTGCGGTGGACCTATGGCCATTTGTTCCACAAAATAGTCAAGTAAAACGTCTCTAACAATGCATCATGAATCATTCAGTGACTGTATCAAGTGAGAGCTATACATGTAAAAGTTTGAGAATGAGACTCATCTTCTGTAACATTTGGAGAAAGCATCCGTCAGTGCTTCCTTTTAGTTCCCATATCTGTAATGCTGTGTTACCAGGAAGGAACCATTCAAATTCACCTAGCAAGTATCTAAAACAATACCTTGAGAAATTAGATTTTAATGTTGGCTGAGTGTTAAAATGGGATGGCTATGTCAATACCTTTATACCCAGAATTTGTTCGACCAAACACCCATATTTAGAATTTCCTTGCTAATGATGGCTTCTCTTTTTCCTTAGCATCCACAAGGTACCCGAATTTGCAAGTGTGATCAATGTATAAACATAGGGGTGTTAATCGAGCTAAGTTTAAGCCCAACAAACTTATTTTTCTAAAATAACCTATAAAAATGTTCAAATTCGATTCGTTTAGAACTCAACGCAAGCCCAAGTAGTTTGACTCATTAAAAACGAATCGATAAAAAATTGATCAACTTAGTGCGTTTAAAATACAAGTTCAGTGTCAAATTGAGTTTTATTTGAGTCACGTCCGAA